GAATTAACCGAGTCCGCATTATACTCTGAACGTTGAAGTTATAGTGACGACCCATTGACATGGCTGACAATATTGGCGATATTGATTCCGAGACCTAATTATCAGGATCAAGATCTAGAGAACTATGAGAAATTCAGCGATCAAATGAATTATGAATGATACAATGGACGAGCAGGAGAGTTCCACATGCCTGGGAAAAATATCTTATCTCCTTAGAATAATTTACGATTGGTGACATGTCGTAAAGCGATGATGACTGTTTTAATTCTTATTATTATCATGTGCAGGTTAGCGGGGATTAAATGCGAATCCATTACTGGGGTTTCTAAATCGATCGGGTTCTATCCTGGAGCAACAGACTACCTACTGGAACAAGGAAGACACTCATGGAACAGAGTAATGATAAAAGACCAGTGGTTCTTCTGTGACGCGGCTTGGGCTGCTGGCGTATCAAGTAAGGATAATTATAATCACACATTTGGTCCGGCTTCGAATGCACCGGCTTAATTTGGTCAGTTTTAAGAGTTACTGATTTTTAAGTTAAAAGGGTTAGAGTTAGCGTAAGGAGTTGTGTTTGGTATAAGATAGAAGTTGAGAGTTTTTTAATTATAGAATATTGACTACGGAGCACTTTTCGCTGAAGCGTGAGACGTAGGACCAAAAAGGAATTACCCTGCATTTATACATTATCGGACCAGCTGTCGAAATGCCGTAAATCTGTTCCTGTTTGACGATATCATCATAATACTTGTAATTAATTTAATACCTTTTAAGTTCTAGTTAAACCTTTGTTATTTAAATATCATGGACATTTTCATAGCATATTGCGTCAGTAACATCTTTAATGGAACGAACCCTTTTGCAAACACTGTGTCATTTATGCGTAGATTGATATTAAAGGGTTATTTTGCCAATAAACTTTTTCAGCCATCGTAAATATCACTGATATATTTTAAGTTCACCAACTCTCAATATTCTTCATCTATTTTCCATCCCTTTTACAGATCGAGGTGCAGATGGAGCATATACCTTTGAGCGTCGATGGGGCGAGGGCTTCTTCCTCGCATACCCTGATCAATTTTCCGCCACGCACCTCCCCGTCGAAAACGAATCTCATCCCGACCTGGAGCCTTGGAGCAACAGCATCCAGATCGGTCGTGCCGCATATCAGTTTAAACTCGAGTGTCTTTCACATGACAAGGGTGTCATCAACATCACAGACAACAATGTTCTGATCAAGATCAAGAGCGAGTATCCCCTCAATGCTTTCTGCAGGTTGACTCGAGAGGATCACGCCGGTGAAGAGATTGCAAACAGCATTATCCACTGGTGGGAAGACGGTGTCCTCACATGTCGCATCGAGGTCCAAGAGCCTGGGAAGTATGTCTTCACAGCATACGGCACTTTGCCTCAAAATGAATACATCATCGGTGATGACACCTTCTCCAGCAAAGTTGCAGAGTTCTATGGAACTCGATTGATGTCATTCACCATAATAGCGGAAGGAAAAAGCACAAGTCCAACTGTACCGATTGAGAGCGGTGAGGTCTGGGGTGTTGATCCTCGATGTCTGCAGAAAGGTTTCTCAGCAATATCCCATCTGGAACCGTTCGTAGATGCCATCGATGGGCGCGCAACGATAAGCTTCAAGCAGATCGGAGATCTCGTGCCAGTGGTGTACCATCTCTCTCATCTCGACAACCCGGAAGAAAATCTGGAAGATCACATCTACATAGAGACAGTTGGACAAAGGTATGTTTGTCATATTGCGTGTCCTCGACCTGGAAAGTATACGCTTATCCTGAAGCTAAAGTACTCTGATGCAAAGTTTCACCATGCCGCCTCCTACATGATAACATCAACCAGGGAATTCAAGGGCGGTGACGACGCCCCCATTACGTTTCCAAGAGGACACAATGGAATATGGGGACCCAACGACGAGTTCTTCAACATGGGTTTGACCGTAAGGGGACCAGATTCATCCACAATTTCTGCGAAAGAAGGCGAGTGTTATTTTGTTGTTCGGTGTGATAAATCAAGAGATATGGAGATGAACTTGACACTCAAGGCTGGGGGTTCAGACAATGAGCTTAGAAATGGTCACGCGTTTGTTCAGAGTGCCAAGGGAAAGTCCACGACAACTGCTTCCATTAGTCTGCGTCTTTCTGAAGCAGGCATGTACGAGCTAAAACTATTTGCAAAATTACATCCAGGAACTGACACGTCCTATGTCGGTTCTTGGTTGGTTGTATGCGAAAGGCCCTGTTATAAATCACTCTTCCCGAAAGGGGCTGTAAAGTGCGGTCCAACAGAAGAGTTTAACAAACACGGTCTTGAATCGGACGAGGAGGCTTTGCTGGAAACCAATGAAGGGGAATGCGAGATCGAGGTAACATTAACAGAGGAGGTTTTCCTAACATTTTCGTTGAAGAGCGGAGATTCGGAAAAGGATAGTCATCAGGGAAAGATGTTTGGGGAGATGATTAAACGTGATGGAAAGACGATCGCCACGTTGAAATTCAGACTCCACGAGACAGGTCTCTACGCGTTCCGTCTCTTTGTGAAGAAGACTCCTAAACAGGACAAGGCTACCTACGTAGGAATGTGGCTCATCGATTGTCATGAGGTATCAACAAAGGAGCCGTACCCTCCTCGCAGTGGTCTTTGGGGCCCTAATCAAGTATTCCACAATGCAGGAATGACCCTTGTAGATTTGGAAACAAGTCACATCCGACTTCCGAAAGGTGAAGGACTTCTCTGCATCAAGCACAGCAGCCAGAGGTCTGCGAAGAAGTTGTCCTACCGGTTGGACAAGAACAATACCAAGTACGACGCCACCCGCCTCATCAACGCCGAGACTTGTTGGTCCCAGAATGGTTCCGAGATCCTGACTACCCTTCACTTTCTGTTTGACCAACCCGGTATGTATGCGCTATTGGTCTTTGATGGCTCTAAGCAATCAAACGCCCTTGCCGGTAACTGGTTGATAGAATGCCAAGAGCCAACAAATCAACCTTTGTTCCCTGCACACTCCGGGATGTGGGGGCCTTCGGAACACTTCTTGAAGATGGGAATGGCCATTGAGAACATCGAGACCTCAACGGTCCATACCGATTCAGCAGGAGAGTGCCAACTCGATATCTCCGGATCTATCAACTTTCGCGCCAACTTTCATCTCTTTGAAGATAACAAAGCAAACAGACTGCCCAAGGAACATGTGACAGTAAAGAGCGCCAACAACGGCAGAAACATGGTGCAATGCTGTGTCAAGCTTCCACATCCTGGATCCTTTGCGCTCCAGTTTTACGCGGCAGAGAAGGGCGTCAAGACACTTAATAACTGTGGTATATGGTTGCTAAATTGGTGGAAAACAAGATGATTGTTATATGAAGTTGAGGATCTATTCTGCATTTGTAACAGTATCAAGAAAGCTTATCAACATTGTACATAGTTGTGTGTGTGTGTGTGTGTGTTTCCAGAATATGCAATTTGCGAATGTTTTAAACAAAGATATAAATATGTTTAGGAAGTTTCCCGATGTTAGAAAAATGCATGGCGTGTTCATATACATATATTTTGGTGTTCCGTCCATAAGATATGATGAATTTTTGTGTACCTTTCCAAAGGGAACTCAAATTCGTGTAAAATCACCGTTCTGCCATATCAGAGGTTCATTAACGCTAAATAGTTCTTTTGTACAGATGTATGTAGTACAGTGCAGTCATACAAGTGCGCATATACGATTATAGAAAAATATTTGTTGGGAGCCCTGCCAGTAGGGGGAGGGGGGAGGGGTGGGGATCAACCCCAAGCCCCTTTAGAACCGGTATTGCAAGTGTGTAATAAATCATAGGAATAATGCCGGGGAATAATGTCACACAAAGATTTCCAAAGCTCGTCACTATACCAATTAAAATCGTGAATCCCGTAATCATTTGGACTGTTATTGATCCTCCGCCGACCGACGGTCGTGCTGGAGGAATTATGTTAACGGGGAGTCCGTCCTCGTCTCGCGTTCTCGTTTCCGCGATATCTCAAGAACCGTAATGATAGTAATTAAATATCACCATAGAAAGAAAATCTGATTACATTTGTAACTAGTATGTAGATCAAATGTCAAGGCTTTTAGTTTCATAGAGATATGTCACGAATAACTCCATCCATTTCCTATATTGAATTTAGGGCGGAGGCATACAGGAGACGTAGTCACTTTTGTCTTATTGTTATCATTATTATCCATTTTCAAAAGTTGATTAATATGTTGCAAGTACCCGATTCAACTATTCCTGCCTCTAATATATAATCTGAATAAAATGTTCAATTGAATATTCACAGAGGGAATGTTTATTTGTTATTTGTATGGATACAATTTCATGTCTAATTATGTCCTCCATTTATAGTTTCATTCAGTATATACACTAATCATGAAACGAAATTGAAAGATCAAACAAAAACCACTCATAAACGCACATACGCACACACGCAAAATGTTTTTTTCCTACTAACTGGCCACAACATATATTACTTCAGAGAGAGGAAACAGGATATTTTCACAATATTGACACCATTCACGTTTCCTCCAATCCGGTATTATTGAAAATAACACTTTAGATCAACTTATGCAACTATAGTTTCATGCAGTATATACACTACTCTCTATATTAACTATGAAACGAAATTGAAAGAACAAAGAAAAATCACACATAAACACACATACGCATACACGCAAATTGTTTTTATTCCGACTAACTGGCCACGAAATATATTACGTCAGACGAGTAGAAAGCAGGATATTTTTACAATATTGACACCATTCACGTTTCCTCGTATATATCCAAGTATTATTGATACTAACACTTGAGATCAATGCAACTGTTTTTCCAGTATTTACCTCTTTTCTCACCCGAGCATTTTTTTTTATGGGAAATTCATATAAAGCGAAACTATAGTTGCCTGAAGTGTGCAGAGAAGTAATACTTTAAAAATGTCAAGCCGTCGATCGCGATCAATGGAGACTGCTGATGAATAATGGTCTGCAAACAGTGAGGATAAAAAAAGATCGTAAAATGGAGTTACCGGAGCGAGACACGCACAATGCAGATTTCTACCATGCATGCTGTCGGTGGAGAAGATAAACTTTGTGGTTTCTGCACGCAGGTAGATTCATAACAGTCAGTACTGTGTCTGTCAATCCAGTCGACAACAACATTGTGTGAATATGATTCTGTACGACTCAACATTCTCGTTGGAGTAAATATGTTCAAAATAATGATGAGCGGATCTTCGTAGATTTAGACCAAGTATGTGTCTCTAATTAGTACCGCCAAAAACCGATTGTACAAGGGACAAGAGTGCCTCGGAACTGCAAGACACCGGTATTGCACACGGGCCACTGGAGTTTTTTCGTGATACAGGTGAGTACTGTTGTCACGATGATGATGTCGGATTCTTAATCCTACTTACCTTGGGCTAATGCCTAATGATAGTTAATACGTACAAATATTTCAGTCACTACGCACTGGACTGCTTCGAGACAACCGGAAAATTACACTAAGTCATGCTGATTGAGTTCAGTGTGATACGAATGAATTGTATTAATAAACTATGCCGATAAGCTATACAATTTTCAAAATTCCAATTGCATATTGATTGGGCCTATATGTTCGTGAGTAATGCTAATATAACTATCATTGATTACAACTTTCAAATCTTGCAATGGATAGAACTTTAAATACAAAAAATAGATCACAATTACATGCGACTTTAAGCAGTAATAAAGGTATTTGCGACTTTAAGCAGTAATAAAGGTATTTATTCTCGCTTTCAATCGACAAGAGCTTTTTTTTTTATTTTTTTTTTTATAAATGTATCGTTTCCATGCTCTCGTTCTTTCATAGTCTCATAGATCATAACAATGCAGTTTTAAAATGTTCAAACTTTTCTTTAATTTTGTTAATAAAATATATATCAAAGTAGATCTGAAGAGTATTCGTTATATCGCATTTTCCTTGGAGATAAGAAGCGCTTCACATGGACCGGTTTACTAACATTCAAATTTGACGCGTACTGTTTAAATAAAAGTTGTTATTGACGACCCGAAATTTTGCCCGAGGCTTGTCCGACTTAGCAACAATTAATGGATGCAGACTGAATTCCGTGTACTTTATTTTTTAGTAACAGATCAATTGAATACCTCGTCACTAGGTCCCAAAGAATAAAACATAAATTTGAATACATTAGTAAACTGGTCTAGTTTCTACAAACCCATGCATTGCAACCTTGCATCGATACACTTAGGGAGCCTTCTCTCTCTCTCTCTCTCTCTCCCCCCCCCCCTCCCCTCTCTCTCTCTCTCTCTCTCTCTCCTCCCCCCCCCCCCCCTCTCTCCCTCTCTCCCTCTCTCTCTCTCTCTCTCTCCCCCTCTCTCTCTCTCTCTCTCTTTTTTGCTCTCTCTTTTTCTCTCTCTCTCTCTCTCAGGATGTACAGGAGTGGATTTCCACACTTGGGGAGTCACTTCACTTCGTTTCGTTTCGTTTTGTATAGTTTAAATCCACCTTCAAAAACAATTAAAATCCCCTGAAAATTCTAGCAACCACTACTTTTGAGTGCATTAATTTTAACAAAGTCTAAAATTTTACTGTATTCAACTCCTAAAAAGTGATCCCTATAGTTACTCGTAAAGGAGTGGTTTCAGTCCTCTGCGTAACGGAGTATTTTAATATGTGAAGGCATTTTGGCCTATGAAAATTATGGAAGACACTCGCGAAATTCTCGTGTTATCTGTAAATGATCACCAGTGTTATGAACATCAAAGAACAAGAAGTATCAATAATATAGGAAAAATCATAGAAAATGAAAGAGGAAGTTTAAAATGATATTAAAAGAAATGTCGCTTAGAACTGAAATTGAAACTCTTGTTTTGAGGACAGGTAGGCACGAACTCTGTCAAATGTAACTATTATAGAGTTTCAAAATACTTCACGATTGTATTTCAATAACAATCGCATTTGTTTCAGTTTTATTTTACTCACGGTTGCGGAGAAAAGTACAGAACTCTACAATATATAACACCTCTACAATCAGTTCAAAGCACTTCTTACAACCCTGTCAAACCAATGAGGATCCATATCAGGTTGATAACACACCGTACACAAATTACATTATCTCAATTTTGTTTGTTCTCATAGGTTTTTATTCTCTTCTCTCATAAAAGAAAATGTTACATAATTTATAACATTTTATACAATAATACAAATAATCTTCGCATAGGCCTAAATAACTAAAGTGAACTCTAACATTTCCATACAAGGTTACAAATAAATTCCAAAATAAAATATATTTTTGCAATTGAAGCTACACATTGACAGAAGAAAAATATTTACATAAACAAAATTACAGTTACACATTTTAAACAAATCGCACATAAAGTGTTTTAATTTCCTCGATTAGCTTGCATATAAATTTCCAATTATTTCTTTTCTTTATAATAATAATATGGATATTCATATAGCGCTGGTATCCGCCAGGCTCTGACGCTCATGGCGCTGTACATATTACTTTCACAAAAATATAATTTTCTCAACTAAAATAAAGTAAACTAAAACAACACAAATTATTACGCTACATTGACATGATTAAATAGCACTGTTTAGGAAGAGATGGGGGTTTTTGAGCAATTTTGAAGTCATGAAGGGCAGTTAAATTACGAATACTAAGTGGCAGCTTATTCCAAAGGGATGGACCAGAATGAAAAAATGCTCTATCCTCCCAGGAACTGCGCGTCTTAGGGACAACTAATAAGGAGGATTGAGATGAACAACAATAACAATAATAATAACAATAACAATAATTTTCCATTTTTTCTTTTTCGAATGGCCAAGAATCGATTGGTTCGAAGCCGGTTTTGTGGTGTAACTGAGGTATTCGGACAATTCAAGGTTATTACTTTTAAAAGTGGGATGAGGAGAATTGCCATGAGAATTCTTGTTTTGTTTGTGTGTGACATAGCACAATTCTAACGCTGTGATATTACAGCCACACCAACGAAGGTGACAAAGACCGACTATATGCAAGGACAAACATTGTCGGTATAGACAAGTCGGTCGGGTTGGAGTCGGCTTAGTAGTATGGCTGACGTATAAGCATTAGGCCAGCATAAATATTATCATAAAAGTTTGTAATACCTTACGAGTCCTTGATGATTTGATATATTGCTTGAAAAACAGACCTGGTATTTCGATTTAATACCTTGTCAATTAGACCATCATTTTCTAATCCTTTCAGAATGAATTAGTTTCAAACTCTTATACATGACTTTGACGGAGAAGAAAACTCAACTCAATGCGTTTTCCCCATTCATAATTTCTATTTTATGCTCGAAATTTATACCGTTTCTGGTAATTCTTCAATCTATAAACATTATAAGAATATATTACCTCGCTATAAAGCATTCTTCTGAATATAGTGATTCATGAAAACTAGAGCAGTACAGATCATGACTATAAGTTAGATATAAGTGTATTATACATCGTATATTTATAAACTCATTAGTATGAAACTGCGTAAATAGGATAATCACTTTGTATCCCAGGTTTCTCCCTATCCGTGTTCCTTTCTTTTTCTTTTTACTTTTTCTTATTGCTTATCCATAAAGGGGGCAGGTGCCTCACGAACCTTTTTAGCTACGTCATTGTAAAACCAATATTTAAACTACCACTTATTATCATTACCGTCATTAAAGACACGCACGATCACTTCTTGCCTGGTAAAATCATTCATGCACAATCATTTAGCATTGTAATGAAGAAAAAAGCGTCAATTTATATGAAACACCATTAGCATGCCAATAAAAAAGAACAATGGCGCTTATTTTCAATATACACTAATCAGTATTCATGCATATCATTTGAGCATATAAGAACTTAATTACTTTATTTATTTATTTATTTCTGATATTTAGACAGGGTGACTCATTATCACCAAAATGGTGGTCTTCCATGAGTTTAATTCGCATGATGTAAAATTGATGTGCCATTTACAAAACCGAACAATAGCACTAAACTCCCATATTCAGCATTGGAATATATCAACAAAAAGCGCTGTTCTGAACGGAGTGACTCACGCAGACCAAAGGGGAACAAAACATTAGGTTTTCTTGTTTTTTTAACTGATACGATGTGTACATACATGCGATGAGGGCAAAGTACAAATTTGCATCAATGGGTGTTTTTTTTAAAGGGAAAGTCCACCCCCAAAATAAGTTTGTTTCGATAGAGGCAGAATAATAAGAAAATCAGGTGAGTGAAAGTTTGAGCAAATTCTGAATGAAAACAAGAAAGTTATGAATTATTGAAGTTGTGATCAATCAAATACAAATTGGCAACTCTGTGACTTATTATACGAGCTCTCCTTCATTTGCTTTGTGCATAATATTCCATAAAATCATGTTTTCTTCGTTATTGATGACGGAATATATATTTGTTCCTTGCAGGGGGAGTATAGAAACATATTTGCAATTATTATATTTAGGGTGCATGTATGGTTGAAATTTTTCTTGAGGGAAAATGAAAATTTTAGATTTTTTTAGTACTGAGCAAATGGAAGTTGAGCTCGCATGATACGTCATAGAGTTGCCAATTTGTGTTTGATTGATCATAACTTCAAAAATCGTAACTTCCTTATTTTTAATCGGAATTTGCTCAAACTTTCACTGACTTGTTTCTCTCATTTTTCTACTCCTATTAAAACTAACTTAATTTCAGGGTGGACTTCCCCTTTTTAAAGTCCAGAGCAGTGTTTCACGAAACCGCTTTAAAGTACAAGGTCATTGATTTCCCTTTGAAGCGCGTACAAGGTCATTTACACGCGTTTTCATGAGATACTCTAAAACTGAAATGTTAAATCACCATTTAAAAGGGTTGAGGAGTGACCACTCTTTCAATATGTCATATTGATACTTTTTACCTGCTAGATTCAACCTTTATAGTGTTGGATCCAGCATGTTCAAAGTGGTAATCTACCATTTTGAAAAAGGGTTCACTCCTCAGCCCTTTTAAGTAGTGATTGAACATTTCTATTTTTAGAGTGTAAACTTTACACAAAATATCGGTTTCTTAGTCACAATAGACGACCCGCTTTTCTTACTCACAATACCCGTGATATGCTATTCTTCCTGCTTCACACTTATTTTCTTTTATTCAAAAGACGGAATGTTGTGAGGTATCACTTCCCGGATTACAATTTCCCCTTGAAATGACGACATATGTCAACAACCCAGTACAATTAACTCTTATACTAATATCTCCAGGACGCTTTATGATAGTAACCATTGGACAATTAATTACAACCATGACAAAAATTATCGAACGATCAATCCATATGACACAACTTTCGGACAAGTACCCCTTTATTATAATATCCACAAATCAGGACAATTACCATCCATGGCAGTGATACTCGGACAACCAACCCATAATTATGACAATAAACCTTCAGACAATTTCCCCTGTGAAAATAAACCTGGACCATTACGCCTAACAACAACGACCCTCGGTCAAAAAACACATATGGCAATAAACCTCGGACAACTAGCCCCACACGACTACTCCGAATTCAGAGTACTAGTGTATTTCTTCCAATAGAAAGTGAATTACACTGTATCGTAAATGAATCTTGTAAATCCATTACAAGAAGCTAATTTTACTGCCCTTAATTAATATCATTTACAATCTAATAACGCGTGAATGTCTGGTTAATACTTGAACTATAATAATTATACAAGGACAGGTTTCGGGTAGCTGAAATGTTGGTTAATAGATAATTGACTTCCAACACATTATGTACGTGTACGTAATGCTTCTCAAATTAAATACGTATTTCGATGTATTCTATCCACACATTTCGGACTAACCATTGAGTTTACACTTGGCAATTACCCAACAACCAGACGAATTTGATTAGGCCCCACCAAATACTTCCCTTTTCATACCATAATATTACACCTATGTAAACTGCGATTTGTGGCGAATTAAAGGGATAAACTGGATTTCCTGCAAATTAAATTGTACAACATTGTGCGCTCACAAGAGCCATACGAATAACCACAATGCAATGATATGTGGTAGTGGTGGTTATTTTACCTGACTGCTAGGAAAGCATAAATGCTTGTGTTAGTAAGCAACCAGACATCGGGAACTAAGTGTGACGTCATCGTGCCGGAGGTGGCTGACTTTCGGAAAAATTCTGAAAATAAGTTATTTTATATCCATCAGTGTCATTATCTTAGATCAGAATCATACAAAATAAAAAGTTTTAACACTACTATAAGCTTTCTGAACTATTATATTCTTTTATAAATTTCATTTTCAACACAAATGCAGGTTTCTCGGCTGTTCGCTGGCTTTTATAAACAAGAAGAACATACTAGCCTAATTTAAGCCTCGGTCACAAATGCCGTTACGAACTGCTACGAACGCCATACGAACTATTTTCAGAAAATGGAAATTCGGGAAGACAATGGAAAAACAGGGAGATTCGTACGAAATTATCGCTCGTACGAACCTTTGTGACCGTAGCATAAGAAACGATGAATATACAAATCGACAAGAGAAGAAGGTGAATAACCCACAAATAGAAAGTACGAATTATGAAATTAATCATCTCGGAGAAAATTTACATGTAGGTATCGTAGTGTAAATACCACAGCAAGATCATGTCTTTGAAAAAATTAAGATTGATCCAATTTGATTGCACGTCCTCCGATCAATGTACGGAGTTGCAATTGATATCAAACTCACGTTACGTTTGGATCAATTTTTGATCAATTTCAAATCTGGCTGGCTGGAGTTGTCCGACATTGCAACACAATGAATCGTGACTTTTGAAATCAGGTGAGTGAATTAATTGGATGCAAAGCTGTTGCGGTGTACGAGCGACAAAAATTGGGAATAGATATCTGGTGAACAGGTCTATTCATAGAATGTTGGGTGCATGAGGAGTGATAATCTATTTGTCATCTCTTTGTTCATTTAGGCAGATTGATAGATATAATTATCTTCCACCGGCAAATTCTAAAATGTTTTATCTCTTTGTTGATTTACGCGGATTGGCAGGTATCATCATTTGAAAGGACATTCCGAAAGTGTTCCATTTCTTTGGTGGTTTATGCAGAATGGTCATTTTCTAAAAGCATCTTCTAAAGGTACTTCATAATATTTGTTGATTGACAGGCGCAGATTGACAGAAGTCTGAAAGCAATGATTTTTTGTTGGACGCCCTCTTTCTACCTGTATATCAATGGACAGTGAGAACGTGTTGGGTGAGGTAACAAGTGCGTCTTCATCTTCAAAGTCAGAAGGTAGGTTTGTATAAATGCATTGCCACAATTTCTTAGATACCCTTCAAAAATCTACATTAGTGATGAACATTTTCCAAGAATGTTTTCAAAACGAATATTTAATGTGGTAGAACTGTGTCTGTAAATCGTGAATTTCATACATGTGCATGTACAATATGAAAAAGAAAAAAGTGGAGATTTTGAAGCAAAACGAGCAATATGGTTGGGTAATGATATCGTATTAAGTGTCTGAGAAATTGTCTGCTGTTCTGTAGTTTACGCGATGGTTCAGTGGTAGAGCAGTGAACTCTAAACCGCTAGGTCCTTGGTTCATGACCCAGTGATGCGCTATAGTGTATCTTGATGCTTACAGCATAAATCCTATTTTTCCAATTTTCACAGATAGGACTTCAACTTCAAGAAGAAGGTCCAAGAAAGTATTAAAGTATGAGCCAGTTCACGGTTGCAGTCTGAGCATGAGCAGACAAAGGTCATTGCAGAACAAATGTTGAAATACACGGATACAAAATACTGGATACGTGCTCATGAATACGTGGATACGTGCTCACTCCTAGTAATTATTGTGTGAAAACAAAGACTTCATGACAAAAAATATTACCTCAGGCAACTCCAATAGCCTTTGCCTTTGAAACATTTACATCAAAGTGCCGGTATTACGTGATCCAGTGAAGAATACTGTAGGATATGCAACAGTCCAAATATATAGAAATTAACCGTGAGTAGATTTCTTGAAAGCCTTAGCGATCGCGTTAAGTATTCATTATTAATACATATTTGTTCATTCTTCAGGACCCCTTGATAGCACCACACCCATCCCAAGTATGGACAACACAGCAGTAACTGCCAGCGTTACAGTGGTATGCTTGATCCTGGTAGCTGTGGGTATCACAATCCTGCTCTTCTGCTTGTATCGGAGAAGAAAACAGGCCAGTAACCAGAAAGGTAAGTGGACAGCTAGAATTGGAATGATAAGTGGTGAAATACGGGGGGGGGGGGCGGTCGGGTACCTGACCCCTCCCCCATCAAGTAGCAAAAATAAAAGGGAATAGAGAGAGAGAGAGAGGGGGGGGGTATAGAGATACGAGGAAGGGGAGAGAGGGGCGGATGGGGAGTGAGCGAGAGAGAGAGAGAGAGAGAGAGGGGGAGAGAAAGAGAGAGAGGGGGAGGAGAGAGGGGAAGAGAAATATGTGGGAAAGAGAGGGGAAGGGAGAGAGAGAGAGAGAGAGAGGGGAGGGGATACAGTGGCAATGTGAAAAGAAGGAGTGTTTTGTTGGCATTTCCGTGGCAGAAATCAACTTAAAATCAGAATGCTTTGAATAATAAGTTAAAAGAGCTGCAGATCATACAAAACAACCTCACAACCTCACAATCAAATCAATGGACCTTGAAATAGAATCACATAATAGCAATTTTTGTTTACCTTACACTAATATTAGCTTATGAACGTGTAAACAATAACACAAGATATTACAAACACAACTATATTTCAGAGGGACCTTGAAACAATGAACACGGAAATTTCTAACAATCGATTGGTGAAGAAAAACAAATATGATGGAAATAATACATTGCCGAATAAAAACCCATTTCATTCGTAGGGTAACTATTATTATACAGGCATGCAATGACATGTAGGTCCTTTTCATAGGCTTTACACCCGACAATAGTTTTTTTGTTTGTAAAAAGGTCTCGAAACAGTGCAATCAACATTATTAAAACCTTTTCAAAGTTTGAAGAACCAGCAAAGATTTTGTATTCATAAGTGCAGAAGCAAAATGTCTCGTAATCCATTGGTAATATTTGGTTTAATATTTACAGGGCTGAAGGAGGACGACCTAAAAGTGGCCATGGATCTAGTACAATGCGATCAGGTATACACAAGTTAATTGATTTGAATTTGTTTAAAAGGTACGATCAGTACTTGTAGTAGTTGTAGTAGTAGTAGTTGTAGCAGCAGCAGCAGCAGTAGAACAGTAGTAGAAGCAGGATTTTATTGATGTTAGTATTAAACTTTTTAGAGTTGGAGTACAGGATGTAGTATATATCAAGTAGCCCTACAGTCTTGATATCTATGTACCTTTCCATAATTCTGAAAAATGAAGAGCATTTTTTTTTTAATGCACTTCCTGCTATTGCATTGCCTTTCCGGAACCGATATGAAGAAAATTACACTTAAACTTCCTCTGATATATGTATGTTTTAAAAAATGCACAGGAAACTAGTCATGTAGTGTATCTGATTAAATAGGATCAATTTAGAAAACCGATGAATAATTTGGTAAGACCCCAAAATATTCGTCAGATTTCTCTCATTTTTGGTCTATCATGACTGCAAAGAATTGGAACAAGGGAAATCTTTATTACTCTATATCTTTGTAACTCATGTTTCTCCTTTCTAGAAAGAGTTTTCCAATATGCAACATTTTTTTTAACTTGTCACATCCCTACGTACACAATTATTTCCTTGTTATCTCGACTTTTGGCATTATTACAGTACTGTATACATGGTCTTCTATTTGTACATGATGATAGAATCGAAATATTCGAACCAAACCAAAAAACATCGGCAATTTTGAAGAGAAACAGCGTTTCATGTAATTTGCCTTACTGCGGTCTGACTGCGCCGGGTTAGCGCATGATCGCAGTGCGGTTTACTGTTATAGTTTCCAGCGGCGAAGTATGGGTCTATATAGGCATTTAGGGCACATTGGCAGGGAAGGGGGTAGCGGCGCCTGTCCTACGCGTTGGGAAAAATGCAAATAACAATGACACTGAAGAGAAGGGTGCGGGACGGGTCCTTTCATCTTTTGTCACGTTCCCTTCTCTCCCATCTCTCTCTCTCTCTCTCTCTCTCTTCCTCCCTCTCTGTTCCCTTTCTTTTTATTTGCCATTGGGGGGGGGGGGCACGTTTCTCTGTCTCCCCTTGCCCCTATAGCTATGCCACTGGTTGGTTGGTTCGATTTAATTCAAGTCTTAGTTTATTCCCTCATAAAATTACATTCTTTCATACATTATAAAAACTTTCACCCTGTTTATTTACTTTCTTTGTTTACTTACCTTTAAAATGTTCGCAAAGATTTTTACGAATCAACCCTCGGCCTCGTTGAAATGTGCGAGAATGAAAATGCGAATATGATTTTCTATAAGAAGGACAATACAGTTTTGTTAGTTATGGATTACTGGATAGTCTTTAAGATCATGTTGTCGAATCTTTATGCCATCTCGTTATTTGTGTTTTGGTTTGCAGATAAAAGTGATCACCACTATGAGTTCCCATCCTCGCCTCCGAACCTTAAAGCTGACCCTAAATCCTCAAATCCGGGTGATGCTCAAAGTAGCGACCCCTACGTAACGCTCGCGGGACAGTCCTTACCCCACCACTACCAAGGGCTGGGTCAGAAGTCCCCACTCCCAGACGACTCGGACTACGATCTACTCATGGTGTCGACGGAAAAAACCAACAGCGACTACTATTTCAAGCTCGAACCAGGGTCACTGAACAATACCGGACTTCGAACCGGAGTTCAGTCAGGGGTTCGACCAAGGGTTGACCCGACGTCGACGGATCCCGAAGATGCGTATGATCTGGTCCAAATCATGAACACGACGGGAAACAATGCAAACCAAAATCAAAATGAAGATGACGTGACTAACCGCAAAGACTCAGGCGAAGGTGATGATGATAACCCGTATTATTTTAAGGTGGGGGGATCTAAAGGAGGAAGCTTCCATACCGCTCAAGTATCCTTCCGTGATGCTAAGCAGCCTCATGGTAAGGGTCTTCCTTCAGAGAAAGGCGACGAGGCAAACCGGAGGCCAGCAATCGCTGCTAAACCCGATTTTACCACGAAACCGAAGGGTTCCGTCGATGAAAGCGCCAGCTACGACAAACTCGATCGATCGGCCATCCCAACGCCAAACTCGGAAGACATCAATGCGAACGAATACAACAAACTTTTACCGCGGTTGGCCGTCCAGTCAAACAACTCGGATCCGACGTCGAGTGACGGTTATCTGAAGGTGAAAGTAGGGAATGGCACAACTAGCGTCCACGATGAAGCCGACGATTATGACAGTCTCAGGGAGGTCGACGACTACAATAAGCTGGACAGGGGAGTGGAGAGAGAATTTGACAGTCAAGTCGTTTCGGACAAGAACTCGTCATCCGCCTAGAACAGACTGCCATGATGATCGACACACTGGTTAAAGACGCACTATCATTATTTAGCATGCTATGATCAGTACTCAATGTTGACGGTGTGGTAAAAAAATATATTCAGGAACTTGAAACATGTATGCATGTGTTATGAACAGTACTTATCATTTAAATAGGGAGACGTTTGTGGCCTGAATTTGCCGGTGTCACTAATTTTATATTGTAAAGTTGTTCTGGGGATCTGCGGAAATATTAGGCACTTGTTGCTACTACTTTCACTTTTCCTGCTTGTCATTATTATTTATTCATATGTAAACTTGACACAATCGTAAAGGCTTTCGAGAGATCATCCCGAGGGTAATTTCAGTACTCTATTTTATACCCTACATAAATCATGTATGCAAAGTAAATTTCATCCATAGAAATATCATTTTGCAAATCATATAAGTCAAATAGTTGGTATCCAAATGCTCGGGCGAAATACATGCTTTAAATAAAATACTTTAATAAGCATGCTTGCTCCAAGTTGTTTTCGAAAGTTTTGCGACCATGATTTGTATAGTTGCCTTAGATTTCTTTGTTCCTATTATGGCGGTTTAATTGCCGCATTACAATAATGTGTAATATATGAACAAGGCTTACGAGGTAGCAATTAAGTCTTTTATGCTTGTTGTTTAGGGTGATTTCTTCGTGACGGGCTCTTATCTTGCCATAGTTACAGTGTCTCTTTTACATATACTTACATGTATTTTAAGCTAACGTTCGGCCGGGTGTGGCGGCCAAATGATATTTTTAGAGTTTGAAAGGCGAGCTGAGGAGAAATTTCGATTCTTTTTAACCAAGCCGACAAGGGCTCTGGCGGGGAGGCACTCATGCCTCGGGTAACCATCTAACTCTTCACCTTTTCTCCATTGTTCACTTACTTGACTTTAAATCTAGTATATATGCATAAAAATTATTTAAAAAACAGTTTTCTGCGAGAGTATTGTGTATCGGATTCTACCCCCCAAAACAAAGGCTTGTACTTATGTCCTTAGTTGCGCATTAGCTGGGCACTAATACGTCCTTTGGCTAGATATTTACCCGCATTTAGCTTGCATTTATCTCGCTTTACTTTAATACAGTGGCGGATCCAGAGGGGGGGGGGGGGGGGGGCCCGCCCCCCCCCCCCCTTGAGAAAAAAAATCATGTAAAATCACGTCATTTTAACTTTTGGGGGGGGGGGTTGGGCCCCCCCTGGCGCTCAAGGGGGGGGGGGGGCAAATTGAAATTTTTTTTGAGGATAAAAAAAAAAAAAATGTGCTCACTACCCCCCCCCCCCCCCCCCCCCCCCCCCCCCCCCCCCCCCCACTGAGCGAAATTTTGGCCGGCGCGTTTTTCAAATTTTCGGGAGCAAAAAAAAAAAGTGCTCTGTACCCCGGCCCCCCCACACCACTGAGCGACTTTTCGGCCGGCGCGATTTTCAAATTTTCGGGAGCAAAAAAAAAAAAAAGTTGGGCCCCCTCCCCTAAGAAATCCTGGATCCGCGCCTGCTTTAATATTGCTATTATATTTTTGTATACTTGAATCTCTTTTACTAAATAAAGTATAATCATTGCATTTTATAAATTTGAATAAAATATATCCTTGCATCTATAAAAGCTGTGTGACAATGTTTTTGTAATTTAATATCATTTAAATGGGTTATTACGAATTGAAATGGTAAGTGTGGTAGTGCAAATTAAAAAATGAAAGCATGGCTCAAGTAAGATACACATCGAAATGAAACATCTGTTTTGGAATGACACGAAAAATATCGGTTTTAGGGAAAGCGTGTGTGTGTGGGTTTGTGCGGATGTATGAAAGCGAGAGAGGAGGATGGAGGGGGCATTCGGATATTGAGGGGGGATGGGAACTGAGAGGCGGAGGGGGTAGCAAGGAACACCATTGAGAGAGAGAGAGAGAGATAGAGAGAGAGAGAGAGAGAGAGAGAGAGAGAGAGAGAGAGGGGGTACATTTGAAATATTTTCATGAGTTTAAATATTAACATTCTATTCAACGAGGTGTCAGCCTCGTTGAATATAATTTACGTTAATCTTTCAACGAATGAAAATATTCGCACTATTGAACGAATGAAAACATTCATTATTAGTTTTATACAACATCGAAAAAGATCTAATAGAACGTTAATCAACAAAAATCTATGTTTTACTCCTTATATCAAAGATAAATTAAAGTTGGAGTCAAGCCTCCTCGATTACATTCAGATTGCCTTCGCGTCAGATTCACGTAGGGATACGCGCACGGCAGAGAGGTACTAGTATGCAGTCTGCATAATTTTTATAACCAAAAATACACGGCGAATATAACCAAAAATGCACGCCCGTGCAATACTAACATCTATTGAATATCAAGTCACCAACAATCCTCCAATCAAATGACAAGGACCCATGCAGGTGTTGTATAATAAAACATATTATTTATCGTATCATAGGCATACCATGAATCTGTTAGTAACTTTCACTTTTTTGTTACCCAAACTCTCTATTATGATGTAAGTTTTAGGGGTTAGCGCCTAGTAAAAGCATTCCTTTTTTGTTAGCAAGCGCCCCCCCCCCCCCACCCAATTTTCGTAGTTAGGTCAACACTGTTTCGTTATCATTTTTAGTTCTTCAATGATTCTATTTTGTCAGTTTATACCTGTATTGTTTTATGTCAATATTAAATGTATATGTACTTTGTACATGAATTATGTTCATATTGAAAAGAATAAATCGAATCAAATCAAATTAAATTACAATAATTTGTCAATGATTGTTTATCGAGTTGTTGGCGACAATGACTCCAAGGTCAACCCTCAACTTTCGCACCGTAAGGTATCTATACCCTCACCCTAAATCTAAATAAAAACAACAATTGCAACCAGGCGCGTACGCAGGGGGATGGTTTTGGGGTGTAACCTCCCCCCTCAATTTTTTTTTATTATGTGTGTGTGTTTTGGAGGAACCCCCCCCCCTTTAATAAAATAAAAAAGGGGGTGACAAAAAAGTGACCTTACCACCCCCCCCCCCCCCCCCCCTACTGAACGAAGTATCGGTCGACATAATTTGTAGCCTCTTGTCGATGCACTCGCGCTGTTGGAGTCTCTAAATTCTGGCGAGCAAAGCGAGTCAGAGAAACCGAGGCGCTTGCGCAAGCGCCTCGGTTTCTCTGACTCGCCTCGGTTTCTCTGACTCGCTTCGCTCGTCAGAATTTAGAGACTCCAACAGCGCGAGGGCATCAACAAGAGGCTACATAATTTGCCAAATTCCGGGACAAAAAAAAGAAGAAAAAAAGTGCTCTTAACCCCCTCCCCCCCCCCCCCCCCCCCCCGCTTATTCAGGGGCTGGCTGAGTCGAGTCGTCGAAGAATTTTCGGCGCGATTTTCATATTTTAACACCCCCCCCCCCCCCCCATCCTCGAAAAAAAAATCCTGCGTACGCTACTGACTGCAACCATCAAGTTGACACTGTACTATGACCTTTGGAGAGTAAAAAAGGGATATCTTCCGGAGCAACTTATTTAACTTGATAGTTGCTGTATAGTATCGGTCGGCATAATTTGCCCAAAAAAATGTGCTCTAATTTGTCAACATTATTTTGTAACACAAGTCTTGGATGTTTATTTGCTCGCTTCTAAATTGAATGAAATTCATTTTGCATGTCATTCGCGACTTGTTATGTATATAAATACAAATTATGATGTACTATAGGTTTTCCCGGCCAGTTTCGTAAAAGCAGCAGTCAATTTCATTAACGTGCACTCATGTTCGAGCAAATTTTCTCCACTAGTTGCTCCCCTGTTTCATTTTTAAACTTGTTGCATTCAATTTCGTTTCGAGTCACCGAATTTTCTAAACATGCACATTCAAATTAAAGCTTGGTTCAGTCAATTTGGAAATGCGTAAGGGTCGTTCAATTTCGCCAATGATGCGTGGGAGGTGAATTCTTTGGCGAATTGCGGTTTCATATTCGTCTATGGGCAACCTCTTTCGCAATCGGGTCATTCAAATTAAAACTAGACCTCATAATCAAAGTATAAGGCTGGATGTTCATTCGGATATTCATTTGTTTATTCTTTTTCTCTTTGATCTTTTCTGACATGATTTCAAATCATACAATCTTCTTATTTGTCTGATATATTTATATTGTATTTTACGTTTTCTCTTTCTTTCGATATTCTTTATTTTTGTTGAAACATCTCTTTATTCATATCTTCATATTTTTCATTATAACTGCCTTAGGGGTTATTTTTAAATGGTTTGTATTGATCAATCTTGATTGAGTAGGTGATCTTTCTTTCTTTTCATTTAACATCTTTTTCTTTATTCATCATTGTATTTTGTTTCCATCATGTCAGTGTCTATTAAACCTGAACTCTACCTACAAGATCTGTTTATAGCTTGTGCTTAGAAGAGAAGTCACAAATTGTGCACCTTCTCTGGGGACAGTTATTTGTGTAATGACAGAACAAATACGCATGTCATTCCTCCAAGTAAACTTTGCATAAAACTATTCAAACAGAAGTATATTAAGTGACAAATTAACGTCAAATGAAAAGTATTGCACAAATGTCACATATGTATGCCTAATCACGAAATTGAATGCATGAAGACATACCACCGTCTGTCCGGCGCGAATTTGAATGCTCTTTGCACGCTTTTCTAAATTGAATGCTCGTTTTTCACGTCTCCTTGGCAAGAGTATGAAATCGCATGGTACTAAATCAAATTGAATGACGCAATTAGCTTTTTGAATGTTGATCTACATAGTCATTCAATTTCGCACGAACTTGAATGAACGTAACGTTAATTCGGATGCTAAGTTTACGAAGTTGGGCGGGAAAACCTATATTATTCTTATCATCATTTTCATATCCATCATCATCATCACCTGATCACCATCATATCATGGTTTGCTTCAACATCACTATAGGCTTAATATGGCCCCCACCCTGCGTACGCCACACAATAATATTTGAGAAATGAAAACATTGAGAGACGAATTACTATTTTTGTGTTTGTCATCTAGTATACTACTACGGCTAAATTCAAACTAAAATGCTTCAGAAAGGAGGTGGGCCGTGTTCGACTGAACGCTAAAAAAGGATAAGGTCGATTGAAACCATGTAATAATTAACATGCGTGTTTTCTCTGAAGTGTTTGGAAGTAATTTGCTGATCGAAATGTATCCTGACATCTTCTCTGTTTCTACAATTTGTTTGTGTTTTTTTTTTTTTAAAGGCAAATAATTTATATATTTTAATAATTTTGGAGGGGTTTATAATTGGGGGCTTTTAAGGGGTTCGTGCATCTATTTTTGTCATTGCACTATATCCGGGTTATTATTAGTGAAATTTTGATCTTTATTATTAATAATCCCATTATCATTATTATCATTATCATTATTATCAATATTTTATTATTATCACTAATAATTTTGGTTCATATAGATCCATGTTCAACCAACAGAAATTTGGCCGAACTATTGACAATTCCCCTTCTTTGTATGCGATGAAATTTAGGCCGAGGTAGCTTGATTGGAGTAATAAACGTGCTAGAGTTTTTGAAACTTGTACAACTCGTTCTTGTAATGTTCGCGTTCTTGTAATGTTCGTCAGTAAATCAATATTTACTGACGATTGTTTAGAGAAAGAAAGCCAAAACGAGGATAGACTAAAAGAAAACTATTTTAAGGTAACGCGCGTTACACCTGAAAAGCAAGCGATAGCAAGAATAATTCAGCCAAACCTCAAAGATGAAAACATTTCTCTTTTTCAAGAATTTGAAGAAAAGTTTAAAATTAAAGGTCTTCATTTTTTACACCTCAATGTGAGGTCTATTCTAAACAAGATATCGGAACTTAGAATTCTTTTTAAAAGAAAAAGGCTGTCTATTATTGCTTTCACTGAAACATGGTTAAACAATTCCATAAATGATGAAGAAATTGAAATAGACGGATATAAAATCATACGCCATGATCGATCCTCTGGCTCTGGAGGTGGTGTATGTTTCTATATCAAAAATGATATTGCATTTAATATTATGGATGCTATAAGTACTGGAGATACGGAATCCCTGTGGATAAATTTGCTTATACCAAGATCAAAACCAATTGTTGTTGGCGTTCTGTATCGACCTCCGAAAAACAATTTGTTTATCGAGAAATTGTCCAATATTCTTGATACATTAAAAAAGGATGACGAAATAATTCTTTTAGGAGACATGAATATTTGTCTTCTTCGCAAATCGCCACTGGCTAAAAAATATATTGACTTGTTGAGTCTTCATGGGTTTAGTCAACTCATTAAAGAGGCAACACGCGTTACACCTACATGTTCTTCTCTATTGGATCATATTGGTTGTACCAAAGAAAATAAAATAAGTCAAAGTGGTGTCATTGATCTAGGTATTAGCGACCATTATTTTACTTTCTGTACACGGAAAAATGTTAGACTGGCTATAGGTCATCACAGGACTAATGATATCAGATCCATGAAAAAATATACAGAAGAGTCTTTCAATCTTCAACTATCTGTTGTTGATTGGTCACGAATAACTGACTGTACAGATGTAAATGAGGCATGGTCAATATTTCAACATGTTTTTATCTCAAATTTGAATATGATAGCGCCACTGAAACGGATAAGAATAAAACAAAGATCAGAAACTTGGGTGACTAAAGATATTCTTTCCCTAATTCAAGAGAGAAATATAGTATACAAAAAATGGAGGAAAAAAGCAAAAGATGAGAAGCTCTATAAAAGATACAGAGTATTAAGAAATATGGTCCAAAGAGAGGTGAAAAAGGCTAAACTCGTTTACTTACAAAACAAGATAGAAGAAAATAAACAAGATTCGAAAAAACTTTGGCAGAATCTAAAAAGCTTAGGATTGAAAAATAAGAAGCGAAAAGAACAAGAATCTGTCATTAAAATTGATGGGGAATTATGTCATGATAAGATGGCCATCGCTGATGAATTCAATTCTCATTTCACAAATGTGGCTGCCAAATTAGTAGACAAACTCCCCCCTTCCAAAGACTTTTTCAGCGCAGACAATGATTGTATTCGTGACTTTTACGAAAGAAAAGGTGTACGTGAAAACAGCTTCGAGTTATTACCAATCAGTGAACAATTTGTTTTCAAAGAGTTACGTAAGTTGAATGTATCAAAAAGTACTGGGTTAGACTTGATTCCAGCTAAATTTCTAAAAGATGGTGCGAAGGTTTTATTTAAGCCTCTAAGTTACTTAATGAACCTATCTATCTTGACGAGTACTTTTCCAGAGGATATGAAAATAGCAAAAGTGACTCCACTTTATAAAAAGAAAGATAAAACTGATGTTAGCAACTATAGACCTATTAGTGTTTTAAGCGTAGCATCAAAGATTCTAGAAAAATCGGTCTGTGTTCAAATTGAAAGATACTTCAAAGAAAATGATATAATTTATGAATTTCAATCTGGTTTTCGACATGATTATTCGACTGAAACATGTCTAATTCATTTGACTGATTATTTGAGGAGAGAAACTTCCCAAGGGCGCTTTGTTGGTATGGTGCTCCTTGATCTGCAAAAAGCTTTTGATACAGTTAATCATTGCGTCTTATTGAAGAAGTTACAACTAATGGGTTTTGATAAGGCAAGTTTAGATTGGTTTAGATCCTACTTATCTAATCGGCACCAAGTAGTGGCCATTCATGATATTCGTTCCAAACTAATGCCTATAACTTGCGGTGTTCCTCAGGGAAGCATTTTAGGCCCAATTCTATTTTCAAGTTATATAAATGATATGTGTATTTGTATAAAAGACTTCAAACTATTATTGTACGCAGATGACAGCGTACTACTCTATTCAAATCCTGATCCTAAATATATTGAGGAAAAGCTCAGTGAACAGCTGTCTACGTGTGTCGATTGGATGACTGATAATAAGCTTTCTTTACACTTGGGAAAAACAGAAAGCATTTTATTTTGTTCTAAAAGTAGTTCTAAAAAGTCATTTGAATTCAAAGTGACACACAATAATCAAGCAATCAAGAGAAAAGAGTCTGTGAAGTATTTAGGCATTGAGTTGGCTAGCGCAATTTCATTTTCATCTTTAGTAGAATCAGTTGTAAAAAAAGCAAATTCTCGTCTGAAATTTTTGTACAGATATCAAAGTTGTATGGATTTAAAAGCAAGACGTACACTCTGTTTTGCTCTTATTCAATGTTTATTTGACTATGCTAACCCTGCATGGTATAGTAACATAAACAAGTCAGATCAAAAGAAGTTGAAGATTATACAGAACAAAATGGTGAGATTTATCAACTGTTCTGGTCCAAGAACTCATGTTGGCTACAGCGAACTTTCTAAAGCTGGTTTTCTTGAAGTCGACCAAAGATCAAAACAACTCGTATTGCATCATGTGCATAAAATATACCATACTAGGTCGAATCATTATATTCGATCCAACTTCGATCTTGTTACTGACGTACATGATTATAATACAAGAAATAGACGATTCAACTTTAACTTACCTGAAAGAGTAGGTAGTATTGGAAATTCGTTTTATTACAATGCCATAAAACATTGGAATTCCCTTCCCAATGGTGTAAAAGAAATAGGAAACTATGATCATTTTAAGAGGAAATTAAAGGAATACCTAATACTTGACAGTCAGAGAAGAGAAGTGAATGACATGTTATATGATTGAAATTTTTATTCTTCTGTCGGTTCATACTTTTTCATGTTGTATATACTTATGTTTTCGTACGTTATAGAATTTCTACAAATTCATCATTATTTTCCTCTTCTTCCTTCTCCTCTTTTTCTTCTTCTCCTTCTTCTTTTTCTTCTTGTACTTAATATCATTTCTATCATCAGTTTAAATGTTGTTATTATTATCTTTAATAAGTAGTTCTTTTAATTTTCTTATCTGTCTGTAAATATTACTATTTTAACTTATTAATTTTATACATGTCTGTAAGGGACCCCACTGGAAATAAGCTCTCGAGCTTTCGTGGGTTATCCTGTTCAAGCTGACTTTTTTTGATCTGTTATTATTGTATATTGTTGTATGTTGGAAGCTTGTCGAATAAAAATCAATCAATCAATCAATCACTAATACAGAACACACAGAGGGCATGACTGGTATTTTTATATTCGTACCATGTACCACGCCATTGTTGATCGTACGGACAACGCAACGTAACGTCATAATTATTCTGAGGAAAATCCGTATTTTAGTAAGTTATTAATTCACGTTTTTAATATCTGTGTTGTACCTAGGTTCTTGAATGAATGGGAAGAATTGATTTACATGAACTTCATGATTTTAACGTGTTGACAATTTTCGTAATGCCGATCAGAACTTGGGACTGTGATGTTATTTTGCTTTACTCAGTCCCATTAGTTCGAATCGGTGTAGGCTACCATTGTAGTAGACCGAAAGCTTAAGTCTCTATAATCGTCGGTTGTTCCACTGAGACTACGTCTGGCTCCACTAGACCTCCGGTTATAGAGACTGAATGACCGCCTATGCCATCGTATGTTGAAGATATCACGGCTAGATTTTAGCCGTTAGGCCCCTCCCACAAACATGACAAACTTGCCACGGCCGTATTGTTATGCCCCCAAAATCCCCCAAAATGTCATTTTACCTCGTGCATATCCAATTTTAAATTAGGCTGTGATAACGCCATTACGAACGTGTAGATGGCGCACAGTTTTTCCTTCATAATCATTTTGCCTTCGGCGTAGACTAGAAGGGATGAGATTGACGGCAGCGAGAATTTAACACGGCTTGCAAGATTTTCAACATGGATGTCGATTTTGACCCATAATTTCCTTAAAAGGGACCATTAAACGGATTATTTCAATCAAGTTAGTAAGTGGAACCGATGTATTATAGCCTAGGCCTAATTTAAAATTGGATATGCACGAGGTAAAATGACATTTTGGGGGATTTTGGGGGCATAACAATACGGCCGTGGCAAGTTTGTCATGTTTGTGGGAGGGGCCTAATGGCTAAAATCTAGCCGTGATATCTTCAACATACGATGGCATAGGCGGTCATTCAGTCTCTATAACCGGAGGTCTAGTGGAGCCAGACGTAGTCTCAGTGGAACAACCGACGATTATAGAGACTGAAGCTTTCGGTCTACCATTGTAGATGAAGCTCGCTCTTACTACTGAAATACTAGACTCTATATTCTCAGTCATACATGGCTTCATATTCGTGTCAAATCACCCAAAATCTAGTGAGTTCTGCACTGCTATTATGGGTTTCATGGATCAGGTTGAAAAAGGCGCCCAATGCTTTTCCTTCTTGTTTCCCTTTTCTTCTTCAATGTTCTTCTTCTTCAACAACTTGCTCTTGAAACATGACGTTCTTCTCTTCTTCTTCTTCCAGTCTCCAGTTCCTTTTCTTCTTCTTCTTCTTCTTCTTCTTCTTCTTCTTCTTCTTCTTCTTCTTCTTCTTCTTCTTCTTCTTATTATTATTCTTCCAGTCTCCGGTTCTTTTTCTTCTTCTTCTTCTTCTTCTTCTTCTTCTTCTTCTTCTTCTTCTTCTTCTTCTTCTTCTCCTTCTCCTTCTCCTTCTCCTTCTCCTCCTTCTCCTCCTTCTCCTCCTCCTCCTCCTTCTCCTTCTCCCCCTCCCCCTCCCCCTCCCCCTCCCCTCCCCTCCCCTCCCCTCCCCTCCCCTCCCCTCCCCCTCCCCCTCCCCCTCCCCCTCCCCCTCCCCCTCCCCCTCCCCCTCCCCCCTGTTCTGTTGTAAATCGTTGAGCCAATATTAAAAATGAAGAGACAATTCAGAGATGTTATCTTTTGTTCCAGATTGACAAATACCATATTTGAAGGTATAGGAAGTTAGGAACTGAGGTTAACTTCCTGGGCAGTTGTTCTGTGACGCCATTGTTTGAGATGGCTCTTGTAAAAGCAGATGACAAATCCCTGGTTGTTGTGCCACCTAAAGCAGCGTGGGAGAAGCAGAGGAAACCAGATAAAAGAAAAGTTCTGGATGAAGAGGTGTTTGTTAGTGTAAGTATTCCAGTCATTTCTTCTCCTTCAAGTAATCTTGAAAGGGCTATGCATGCTATCACAAAGATGATCTAAAGATTGCAAGCATTGTAAGGAAGAAAAGTGAGGTTTAATGGGATAAGGGTATTAGATCTCTCAGGAGTAGTACCTGGAGTCTGGAAGTTCTCTGGACTGCCAGTGTGCACTGCATTTGCTGGAAGGATTTTCTGTTCTGGAATCTAATCTCATTCACTCACCATTCCAACAGGAATTTTTTGTTAAAGTCCAGGATATGTTTTAAATCTGTAAAGTATGATTAGGAACGAGCTAAAATGTAATTGATACAAACAACTGAGGAATACATCACAAGAAGAATTAAACACTCAACTTGTGATTTTTCTAAATTGGAGGTGTTCAAGAATGACATTTCCTGTTTTAAGTGTCTTCTACATGTATGTGCATGTAAATAATAAGATAAAGTAAATGTTTGACCTGCCAACTCTTACAAACTCTCTACTGTATCTTCATGCTGAAAGATCTTCTTTGTATACATTGCCTTTGAATACTTGTACCTCCATCAAAATTCTTGAGCTTTAAAGGCACACTGCCATACTTGTAGCTACTTGCTCCCTCTATATAGAAAACTTCCCCAATCGGTGCCTGTTGGTCCCCCATGATCCTCTTTTTCTTATGTTAAATGAGAGCTGAGTTAATGAGATAGCCACCTGTCACAGTGACCTCGATGGCTCTCTGTGTGGTCTAATCCCTTCTGGCCCAGTAGTGGTGACGGTCTTTAAAAGAATTAATATCCGCACCTTCTCAAAAAAAATATCTAAGAAATGGTTATCAGTGCAAGTCATTAAAGGCACACTGTCCTACTTGTAGCTACTTGCTCCCTCTATATAGAAAACTTCCCCAATCGGTGCCTGTTGGTCCCCCTGATCCTCGTTTTCTTATGTTAAATGAGAGCTGAGTTAATGAGATAGCCACCTGTCACAGTGACCTCGCTGGCTCGCTGGGCGGTCTAATCCCTTCTTGCTGAAGTAGTAAAGCCTACCTTTAATAGTTCTTTATTTAAAAAGCCACTTTGAAGGATTGAATAAGATCATACCGCACAACTTCTTCCCAGACCTTATGAAGTTGAAGGCTCAGCAGGGAAATGAGATACATAATTATTCCACCAATTTTTTATTTCGTTAACAAACATTGTCTCTTTCTTTCCCCAAAATATACATATTTTGTGATAAATTTGTGCTTAGTTTTAATGGCAAGTTCATATCGATATCAATCACTTTGAAGGACTTGGAAAATATCATCCAGCGCGACTTCTTCCCGGACCTTAAGAAGTTGAAGGCTCAGCATGAATACATGGAAGCGATGGAGCGGAACGATCTGGTCAAGATGCGAGAGCTGGCCATCAAGTATGCGTCCACCTGCCGGACATCCAGACCGGGAACATCTTCTCTCACTCCCATGCAAGGTATGATAATCCTCCCTGATGTCATTAAATGTACTATGTGTTCAGTTTTTCTTCCATTTACTATTTTTTCTTTCCCATCAGCATTCTGTTATACAATAATGTAATTTTCATAATAATATTTATAATGCTCTCTCAGTAACTGTGTTAACTTATTATAGGCGTTCCCAACTCAAGCTATGCTTTTCGGGTTTTCACCTCCTTCTGTTATCTGAATTATTTACTGTATACTCTATGATGAAGTCATTGTTACAATTTATATATACATTGTGTTTCATATTGTACCGTTGAGGAGGAAATAAATGTTACCAGTAATAATAATAAATATGTGTACATGAACATGTACATTGTTTGTTTTAACAAACTCTAGTTTAGTTTGAATTGAAAACAACAAGTCAATTTGTGTTCTTAATAGAAAATATACATTTTTAATTAGTACTGTATGATATTTATTTGATTGTTCAATGTAAAATGTATTTTTAGATTATGGGTAATTCCATAAATTAGTGACCCAATTTGTGACATTTTTGGTGACCCACTTACATAAGGAACCCACCCATATTTGTGGCTCTGAGTAAAGGCTTAATTAGTGGAGTTTGATTGTTAAGTGACACATGTTCTATTAATAGAATCAGGTAAATACCATCAAAATAAAGGAAAGACAGTATTCCTAATTGAAATTTGTAATGTCATCAATACATTTTAGTTTCATTCTTTGATGATGTGTTTTTTTTTCACCAACAGAGGGAGAACAAACCCCATCAACGTTTGAAACCCCCGTACTGGGACAGTTCAACGCACAGGACACCCCGGGGACTACAGCAGATGAATACAAGAACGAGGATATGCCCCCAAGAGACACGGACTTGACCAAATTGGAGAAACGTAAGTCTCTGAAGGGTTTCATTGACCGTGGAATAAGTACCAGAAATAGTCACTCATACATTCAGTACAGGAAAAAAAGAATTAAAACATTTTGGGGGCTACTTTTCAAGTGTGCTTGCATGAAAATAATACTCTTTAATTTGTTTTGCATTGAACTCTATGCAAATATTTTGGGGCTCTTTAATGACTTTCGGGGGCTCTTTTTTTCTTTATTTCAGGGGTAATTCACCCTGAGCCCCTGTGTATATTTTCCCCCTGATTCAGTACAGGATGGTAAAAAGTACAGAAGCGGCAAAAGAGCGAATTGTGAGGAAGGACATGCCTCCATTTACCCTTACAGGAAATGAGCATAGCAGTAGTTGATTAAAAAAACAAGAGGGCAAAATAGACCCCTACTCGGTAGGTTCTATACCAAACAAATAAACAAATGAATAAGTACAAGTTCACCAACATGCCTTGTGTTAAAGGGAGGCTTTACTACTTCAGCAAGAAGGGATTAGACCACCCAGTGAGCCATCGAGGTCATTGTGACAGGTGGCTATCTCATTAACTCAGCTCTCATTTAACATAAGAAAAAGAGGATCATGGGGGACCAACAGGCACCGATTTGGGAAGTTTTCTATATAGAGGGAGCAAGTAGCTACAAGTAGGACAGTGTGCCTTTAAGTTTAGTGCACAGGTTTCAGTGGGCTTTCAGCAAACTTGTGCTCATGATGGTTTCGTGAAACACTGCCCAGATCAAATTATAATTCAAACAGTATGATTAAGTCATGCATTTGAATTGATTACTTTCTATCATCTTATGTTAATATCTAGCTGAGAGCGATACATCGGTAACCCTGGACAAGTATCTCACCAAGTACACCAGCGAAGACAACGCATCGTTCCGGGACATTATGGCCAAGGCGGAGGACAAGCATCGACACAAGCATGCCTGGCTGTACGAAGCAGAGCTCAACCATGCAGCACAGAATGAGGACATGCTGAAACTGAAGAGCGCCGAGCAGCTCACCATCGATTCCAGGAGCAACAATGTGATTGGGTGGAAGTATGAGGCCAAGAATGCCCTCATGTATGTGCCTGAAGGTATGTACATGAATCAAGAGTGCAAGCTCATCTAAAGCCTAAGTCACACTAGAGTGGCAACAACCGCTTGGCCGACAATGCTCGTAGAGCTCCATGTAGAAAGGCTTTTGGCAGTTTTCTGCATGTTTTTCAATGGTCGTAACTGGTTCCTCAAGGTTTTTGTCAGTCACCTGATACTCCTAGGTTGAAATTTTATGTAGTTGGTGTCAAACATTCGTAAGACAAGGCTCACAACATAAACAACAAATTATAAGTGGATTCTGATACCCCTGGCTCTTACAGTATGTGGCTAGTTTATAAGTCATAAATGAACCTTCAGGGATTTAACAATTTTGACTTAAAATTATTGCTTTTGTGCTTTTATTGAAACCAACTGTCAAGGTTGACTTTCCCATTCATATGCAAGAGGGCTCCAGTAAAGCCTGAACACACTAGAGCTGATAACTGTTGGCGTTAGATGTACTAAGAAAAAGAATAGCCCTCCAAGCGGCTTCATTAATTTTCCTCCTTTAGAACACTACGTTTACAAATTTGAAAATTGAAAAAAAATTGTACATTTGCATATATATATCACAGTACTTCCACAAAATTGCACAAAAGCTGAACCTGTGATCCCTTTCATGTTCCTGGGACCTGTTTCACAAAGCCTTTTTTTAATGACAAATGACAAAAATCAGTGACAAATCTGTTGATTCCCAATCAGAAGCAAGGATTCCAGTAGCTTATAACAAAAACTGTCATTTGTCACTGATGACAAATTAACACCCCCCAGGTGTCGAAGCGAGCCTCGCCGAGAAGATCCTGCAGAAACCCGAGACGGAGATCGCCCACACCAACACTCGATTGACCTCTGACCCCTTCACGAGACCCGAGAGCCTGTCTGGTCTAGCAGGACCAAGCAGACACAATGGCAGGGTCGGATCGGACGGGAAAGAGCTGACCCCTGCGGACGGTCCTAAGGTCAACGGGTATGGCTTTGTGGCTACTCCATCTCCGGCACCTGGTGAGTTGTGAGAGGTCTGGAACCTTCCCTTTTTCCCCCACTTTTTCCTTTTCCATATACAGAGCTGCCAACTGTTACGAAAAATTTGTATTTGTTACGAAAATCCGAAGGGAATACGAAAATACGAAAATGCCTTCCAAAAGTCTGAATTCATGAGAAATATCGTCTGCTAACTTTACCATGTAGTAATTCAACTATGTTCGCTGCTACCGAATTCTACGTAAAAGCAAACAAAATAAGGAGCAGCGAAAGATTAGCTCAGCAGCGCGCATACCTTGCAGCTGCATGCGATATGACTAACGGGACTTCACTGCGGACCAGCCCGGCGGTCCCGGCGCCGCGATGTGTGAGCGGCCGCCGGAGTTGAAGATAGTCAAGTCGCGCAGTGGAACATCGAAGGACCATTTCGGCGTATAATGCGTGGATATTGACACAGAATGGCGGGAAATCAGCAAAAGAAGACCAAGAAAAGTTCACAAAAGTACTATAAGACCGAATCCAGTATCCAGTACCTGTGTATTCAGAAGTCTGAAAGAGAAATTCATCTTGCATGTTGCAGCTGCATGCGATATGCCTACTGGGATTTCACTGCAGATTAGGCCGGCGGTCCCGACCGCGCGATGTGTGAGCGGACGCTGGAATTGAAGATAGTCGAGTCTCGAGGTAGAACATGAAAGGACTATTCAAAGTTTCAAACAATGCGTGGATATTGACAAGGAATAGCATAATCAACAAAAGAAGACCAAGAAATGGTCTCAGAAGTACATGTATAAGACCGAATACAGTATCCAGTAGACCTGCTGTAGTCTAGTAGATCTATTTTGAAGTCTGAAAGAGGTATTCATCATGCATTTTGTACAATTTGTATGTTTTTTTTTTATTTTATGGGAATTGTTTAACTAATTACACATGTAAAATGCTCCAAAATAAGGCTCATATTGCACCAGAGAGCATCTAGAACCCCAGAGCTTCCAGGGCCCTAAGGCGGGCCCTGGACCCCGGCCGCATAGTCGGGCGCTCCGCGCTCGAGATCTGCGCTCAGCGCACATTATTTGGTGTCGTTTTCAAATCCTCCCTATTTCTGATTTCCAAAAGTTGGCATCTCTGGTGTTGGTATGTCTGATATATTCCACAGTTTGCAACAGTATTTATCCTCTTTCTTTCTTCTGGGTTAATTTTTGGTGTTTTAATTGGTGTGTTTCACATCAAATGTATCTCTAAAATATGGTCTTTATGGTATGCATTTGCGCCTCGTTACGACATCCATAGGTTTTTAATAGGTGAAAGGAAGGCCGGTTGAAAAATACTAATTTTGATGGTAAAATACTAATTTTGGAGGTGCTGAGTACTAATTTGTACTTCCAAAGGTTGGCAGCTCTGCATATATTATGCCAATTGTCTGACATCATGCGATTGGAAAATTGGCAGCTAGCTTCAGTTTGTCAATACACTTCTAAAGAAGATGTCCGGACACAGACACCGAAACCCCCACAAGTGATTAAATATGGATATGTCATAGAAATCTTTTCTGGGTGGTGTTTCACAAAGATTCTAAAGTCAAACTTAAGTCTAAGTTAAACTTTAAACATTTATGGAGAGCCATTTGTAGGCCCAATTTAAAATATATTCAAAAGCATGAATTAAAGTATTTTAGACTTTTATGAATTCCACGTTAAGAACATGAAATCTCCTTCATAATAGAAAATATGAATAATTTGATTATCAACACTTTATGCCTTTTAAGATAAATTTTACAAAATATTTTCATAGATGCTAACAGCTTTCCACAATTGTTAAAGGTAAAGACCAGTATTGGAAATGCCCCAATTTCAAAAAATGAAATGGAAGCTCTTATTACCAATCATGTGAAAGAGTATGTTTTGAATATTACATGATGATAAAAATGTTGCCGGGAAACCGCCTACTAATTGATATATTTGGTAAATTAGTGTATCTCTTGCCTGTTGAGAGATATGAAATGCATGTGTCGTGCACGTGTGTGTAGTCCCATATACATCTTTCTGTGTACAGTGCTACTAACTTTATGAAGACTTGGCCAAATTTCTTATCATTTTGATGATTCCAGAACCTTGCAGTACATCTATGCTAGATGATCAACCTTTTCTGATCGATTTCACAACGTTTCTTTCACAATGCAGTCGCATGACCATAACTGGTGTTTAGCTTTAAGTCCAACTAAGAGATAAGTTCAACTTAGGATCTTTGTGAAACACCCCCCCCCCCCCCCCCCCCCCCCGCCCCCCTAAAATGCATTGTCTGTGAAGTTTGCCCACTTTTCACCTAACCAATGTTTGTTCTCGCTATGCCAGGTGTGAACGAATCTCCAATGATGACCTGGGGTGAGATAGAAGGATCGCCTTTCAGATTGGACGGAGGTGACACACCCGTACAAATAGTCAGAGGACCACAGTTCAAGGTATGCATATCCTTGAGATATATTTCAATTTTCTCCTCAGATTTGTTATTCTTCTAATATGTTAACCATCATAATAATAATAATAATGATGTTTGGATTCATAAAGGATTGGAAGGGACCACATAAAATATTATTAAATCACTTAATTATCTTATTGAAGAGATACATTTATATTCAGAAATGCAGGAATTTAGTAGTAAGTTTCATAGGTTTTGAAACGTTTATTTGCAAAATCAGACATATAGAATTGGTAATTGCTAAACAAAAGCACAAAGAAAACATGCACTATAGAAAATGGTCCCCTATTGAGAATTTATTTTAATTATCCATAATTATATTTTGATAATGATACAGTTCAAACCACCCGAGACTGATTTTTTAGTTTTTACATCAGGTCTGTTTGTTTGTTTGTTTGATTGTTGTTGGTTTTTTTTTGGTAATTGTTACAGTGATTCGCATTTGATTATTGTTCTTTTAATGGTATACAATTATTTAATTCTTGTATGATTGTTGTTTTTGTAATGTTACAAAAAATTTCGAAAATCAATAAAAATTTGAAGAAAAAAAAAAAATAATAATAATAATAATGGAAAGTGCTTTACATATATATGCACATAATAATTTGTAGAATTTGTGTTTTACTTTTTTGTTTGTTAACCAATAATACATTTAGAACGTACATTGTATCAGAACAATGAATACATGGATATCCCGGCCCCCCCCCCCCCACTCAGGGTTCGAAATGACCGCATGCGTGTTGCCAAAATGTCCGGTAAAGGGGTACTTTTCGTGCGACAAAGTCCGGCCCGAGAATTGTAAAAAAAAGGGGTGTATTTGACTTTTCACCCGGAGATTTCTTTAAAAAGGGGGTGTGTTTTTCTTTTTCTCTCTCATCTCTTTGCACTCCTAAGAAATTATTCCGAATTAAGGGGGGTACATTGACCATTTTTCATGATTTAGGGGGGTCTCCAAGGCAGGAAAAGCCCGCGAAAAGCCCGCGAAAGGGGGGGGTTCGGAAATGTTGGCAGTCCTCAGATAGGGGGTGCTTTCAAAAAGAGGGAACGAGCATATGCGTACCCTAAATAACACTGAGTGGGGGGGCCGGGATGGATTATAGGAGCAATTCAACCAGATAATAATAGCTTAATAGAAGCAATATAATAATCGGGGCAGCGCCAGTGTAAATTGATATCTGTATCACTTGAATAGCTGCGATAGGAAATTAGGTGCAGGCGTGTAATTACTGCAGATACTTATCACCCGACTTATGTAATATGGTACCTTTTGTGGACACTTATTTAGCCACTGGTTATTTAATTGTGATAAATCTTTTTGCACTAGTAATCTTATATTTGTATCTTTTTATGTTACCTGCCTTGCATGGACCATTAATCAACCGGTCAAGACCTGGGCTTTTTTAATTATATTCTCCTTTCCTTTATATGCCTTTTGTCATAATGTCTCTGCTCTTTTATTGCTGAAGTATCAATAAAGTGATGTACCAACAAAAAGGATATTAACATGTTGAAACAAAGGGTGGTATTCTCGAAAGTGGACTAACTTTAGTCCATGGTTTAATCCTCCGACTAAGTATGGAATGCCAAATGACCATATGAATATGTTTTTGAATAATTTAATCTGTCACTAAATTAAAATAAAATGTAATAACATAATTGATAAACAACAATATAACTATGAAATAGTTATGTTATCATGGTAATTTAGGGACATATTAAATTTTTCAAAAATATATTCATATGGACACTTAGCATTCCATACTTAGTCGGAGGATTAAACCGTGGAGTAAAGTTAGTCCGCTTTCGAGAATACCACCCTAAGTATTTTTGTGTCATTCAGTTACAGTGACACTTCCTGTGAATGATATTTCTCTGTTTTGATGTGTGTAGATGCCTGGTGTTCCGAGGAAGGAGAAGCTTGGTCTATCACTGGTCGATAAGGTCACCAAGAAGAATCGAGCCAAGAAGGAAGAAGCCTTGAAGAGAGTCACCAAGAACATTGTCAGGTAGGCTGCGTGGTCAGATTTCATGTATCTATGTACGTTCTTCACCTGAAGTAAACGAGGAAGAGAGAGAGAGGGACAGAGAGAGAGAGAGGGGGAGAGAGAGGGAGGGAGAGAGAGACAGACAGAGAGGGAGGGAGAGACAGACAGACAGACAGACAGAGAGTGAGAGAGGGGGAGGAAGAGAGAGATAAGCAAAGAGAGGAAAAGGTCTAGATGACCAATGCAATGTAGATGTAGATAAATACCTGTTATGTTGGCTAAGATTAAAAGAAAGAAAAATGAGAAGTTTATAGTAATCTACCCTAGTAGAGGCAGAACTTCTCACCATCCGAGCTTCAGATATACATGTAATTCCTTTTTCTTTCCTGGGCACAACAGTCTCATGAAATCAGAATGTTGTTCTACCGTTGCACTGTATTTCCTAGTATTTTGTGCATCAGAGCAGCATTATACCACAATGATAAAGAAGATTAAGTCTTTATTGGGCAATTCCACGGTAACGCCGGAAGGAAGTCCGGAAGGACACTCAGACAAGATTTTTGAACTTCAGGTTCATACTAAAAGAACTGTTTTATTAGTATAAGATGTGAAACAGTACAGATATAATACCTATATAAGTGCCTTTAATTCTCCCCAAAAAAATTGTCATTATAATTAAGTAGTTTAAGAATGTGCATATTAATTATCTCGGTAACGGAAGGACATAAAAATGGACATGGTTTTTCCAGTTAATTAGTGTTTATCCAAACTTTGTGAAGTTGATGAAGCTTTCCACTTGACTGAAACACATTTTGTTCCCCATAGTTTAATACATACTAATAAAACATTTCTTTTAGTATGAACCTGAAGTTCAAAAATCTTGTCCTTCCGTTACCGTGGAATTGCCCTATTGTCTTTGCCCTGTGCAGCCCGTCACCCAGTCGATTCGGTTCAGCGAGCCCAATGGAACGGATACGATCGCTGTCATCAGCGGCGCAGAAGCTCGTCCAAAAAAGCGTCGGTCCTGCGGACAAGGCACTCAGGGCAAGCTACACACCATCTCCCCAACGCTCGGTCGGTAGTAGGACACCCTCTCTTGGTGGGACCCCCAACAGGACGCCCGGCTCGACCCCCGGGAAGTCACCGGCCTCAAGGCGCGGTCAGTCGGTCAACGCAAGTCCAGCATCCTCAAGAAGTCACTCAGAACCACCCAGTTTGACGGACAATTTGCTCAATTTACCAAAAAGGACTGCTCCTGATAGACAAAAAGCTACAGATTTTTTCTGATGTCTGCATGGTTTTATGCAACAGACAATGAGCTCTATTGGTATCTATTTTCTACAGTATATGAACCAAGGCAAGAGCATTTTAAATTTTGATATGAAAATGGGCCAGCAGACGGAAGCTGAATTCGTTGACAATGACCGATGTGGGTCGAAAGGAAAACTATATATTCTCACTCATACATGCTGTGCATGTATATTGAGATGTCACTCTTTGAGAGAGTGTATCACTTTTGTAACACTGTCATGCTGGACCAGTTAAACAAACGAACATCGTCTAACCTGCAGTGAAGAGACACTGCTGAGCTGATCCATCATTTAAGAAATAGGCATGTTCGTATTAAAGGTCTAGACCATTTTGGAAAACGCCCCCCTCTCAAAAAATGAAATGGAATCTCTTATTACCAACCATGTGAAAGAATATGTTTTGACTAATATGTGATGATACAAATTTTGCCGGGAAACCGCCTTCTAATTGATATATGTGGTAAATTATATCTATCCGGACTGGATAGATATCACGTAGTCCCATATACGGTACATCTTTCTGTGTACAGTGCTTGTAACTTTACCAAGACTGGGGCAAATTTCTTATCATTTTGATGATTCCACAACGTTGCAGTACACACCAATACTTATATGCTAGATGATCAACCTTTTCTGATCGATGCAACAATGTTTCTTTCACAATGCAATCGTATGACCAGAACTGGTCTATACCTCTAACATGTGTAACTAAAGGTGCTTCTGAACTTTGTAATAACTTTTGAATCCTATTTCAACTTCCAAATGGTTTTGAAATGATTTGCATAGAAATATTCTTAATAGCCTTGACAGTACATGTACATATAATAATAATAATAATAATAGTGGGTTCTTGTATAGCGCTCATGTCAGTCAGATTTGACCCTCCTGGCGCTCCCGATTATTACCCTGGCTTTAGCACGGCTGCCATACGGCGCTCTAGCATTTCAAGGAATAAATTCCTACCAGGTACCCATTTACTTCACCTGGGTGGAGTGTGGCAAATGTAGATTAATGTCTGTTTTCAAACAAAATTTCTATGTTAATGTCCTTAGGCCTACACATTGTCTCTATATTCGGCTAACACAAAGGAAGAGAAATAATCATTATAACATAGTAAACCTGAGTTTTCTTCATGTTTTATATGATGCCAAGTGTATTGAGATGCAAGTCTCCATAATGTTTCTGTATTGTTAGTCTAAAGTGGACCTGGAGTTAAAACATGAAGGATATAATTGTGCAATCGTAGAGTCATTTTTACTCATGTACACATACTTATAATGAAAAAACTGTAACCATGAATCATCATTCATTATATACAGGAAAGCCTGGTTTTCTTTTTAAATGTACCCTATGGACCTGTTGAACTACATGTATCAGTAAGATGAAAAATGATCAAGACAAAATGCTTCAAAGGGCTGGTCCCATTTTTTGTCTCATAAAAATAAATAATACTGTAAATTGATCTTTTGAAGTTTATGTGTAAAAGGTATCAGATATGCTACTGATCAGGAAAAAAATTGTGGTGAAGGCGTATATGGATAGCATCAGTGAAAAGGGAACCAATACCTTTTTTTACATTATGTTCCAGAGAGTGATTGTTTATCACTATAGTCCTTGTCATCATAGACCATTTATATCGATAACCTAGTAAAATGTTCCCCAGGGAGTGGAAAAAGTGCCTTGTAAGTGCAGAACTATTGAATATGATGACTGGTGTATCAGCATGTTGTAAAGCATGGCATTCAATACTTTTATCATCACTTAGATAAGTAATAAAAACAATTATAAAATGGGTTAAAAAATGTAGCCAATGAGAAGCGTTGAAATGAATCATGTGTGCGTGCGTTAATTTTGACCATATGCGCAGGAGTGCATTTTGGTGATAACAGCCGTGCGAAAAAGGTGCAACAAAAAGTCATAATGCACGCCTGTGTGAAATTCAATGCATGTTTACGAGAAGTCGCACCATGCACTACACAGTCTGTTTACAAGGCCACTGCTGCCGTGATCGTGTGGACACAATATTTGTTATAAAGGTTTCAGGGTTACATTGTTATCGCCCTGTTAAGATTTGATAGTAGACCCATTTTATAAAACAGATAATACACAGGTTTTTGTTTGTGACATTATGGCAAATATGCGGCGCTATTCAGGTATTCGCAGTGGCACAAAATGCACTTGGCTGCGCCTTATGCATTTTATTGCACCAGTGTGAATCACCTAATGTGCCGCATTGCCATAACGCACTCACGCTTGTGTATTATTTGTATATTTCTGGTACCTCCCACAATCAGTTTTTTTCCATAAGTTTTCAACAATTTCTTAATGTATATTTTGTTATCATAACACATTAGCTACATCTTTATTGTATGCTTATTTCATTTGCCAGGTTGAAAAATAAAGTATGAAATTAAAACAAATAATTTTAGATGGTTTTTTCAGTTTCCTTAGTGTAAAAGTATCGGTTTTTGTTATTGTCTTATTTTTAATCAATTCAGGACTGCACAGTTTAACACTGAGTATTGAAAAAGAAAGTACCCTGGTGAAGTTTGATTGTAAATTGTCATATCTGCCATCAGTAAATTTATGAGTAATGTGATATATATATATATATACATATATTATGCTGTAACTGACAAGAAAAAAAAGTCAAGTTCGGGTTTGGTTTCGCTAACTTTTTAAGTTCTTTTCAGGGATTAGGAGTTTTGGACTGGTCTGGTAACTCATTTATGAACACACATCAGTCCTTTTGACACTAATTTTGACACTAAAAAACACATTTTCTTTTCCTTACAGTACATTGTTTGGTTAAATTGCAACACATACATGTACTACCCTTTTAAAAATATTCTAAGGAAATGTGTAGACATCAGACTTGGAATAATAATAATAATAATAAGATCGGATATTTATATAGCGCACATATCCACCATGCAAGGTGCTCAAGTTACACTGTCTGACATATTTTTTTCTTAGAGTTGAGATGATAATAAACATGAAATGTGAAGGAGCATTTGCAGACATTTTTTTAACAAAGTGAACTTCATCTTGTTATCTGTCTATCCAGTAATCTATTTAGCTGTCTGTGTATCTGTATTTCTGTCTGTCTAAATGTAAATATATCGGTTTGTCCATTCATCAATTGATCTCTCTGTCTATTAGTGGCTTCTCATGATACACCACCTGCAGTCTAAATGCATTTTTTTGGAGGGGGTGGGGAGGGAGGGGGAGGGGTCCCAGCCAAGTACCAAATATCTCTGACTCTACATTTCTTACTATCAATCTGCAATCTGTCTTTTATCTTTGTTTTTAAGGTCTCTCTCTCTCTCTCTCTCTCTCTCTCTCTCTCTCTTTCTCTCTTTCTTTCTTTCTCTCTCTGTCTCTCTCTCTCTCTCTCACTCTGTCTCTCTGTGTAGCTTTCAATGTTATTTTGTAGTACATGTATTTATCTTGAAAAGATAGAAAAGGAAGAGAGAGAGAGAGAGAGGGAGCTCTGTGTTGTTGTTTTGGGGGTAATTTTTTATTCACTTCATGCAATACATGTACATGTATATCATACAAATACAAATTATTTCAAATTACATTACAATAACAAATTTACACAACTCAATTATTTTGAATGAAAAAAATATTTTCATGATAACCCCCTTTCCCAAATTAAAACGCAAAACAATGACGAATCTTACCCAAAACAAATATATATTAAAAAATTTAAAAGCCCACCCCCCCCCCCCCCCCAAAAAAAAAAAAAAAAAAAAAAAAAAAACGTGAGCAGTCCATGGCAGTCGATAGCGGTAAATCACACATAAATGCGAACTGAGCGGATCCCGGTTTATTGGGTAGACTATGGCTGGCAAAAACGGTCAAGAAATCCCCCAGCTATGATCTTTCTACACATTTACTTAAATAGGAAGTTATCCCTTCCGGTCCGCATCCATTCAATGTTCTTGTTTATTATCACCGTTTATAATGGAGTGTCAATATTTTTCGTTCAGTAGAAGTCTTTCTATCTTATTGTTCGCTTTTAATTAATTTTCCCTTTATTTCCTCGATGCTTGGAGGCTTTTTTTTCTTCCTCCCTACTTACAAATATCATATATCTGATTAATAACACAACGTGATTAAATATTTGCCTATCTTTATTTACTTCATCCAATCCAATTTGAACTTCCTTCCAGCTCATTTCGTTAAGAATAGGAGGATCCAGGATATCACTACGTTGTTCCCATATAATCATCTCACTACAAGCATTAAACAAATATGTGCATATATGTTTTCTCATCCTCATCTCATCACAGAATGAGCATTATTTTATCACTTGAAATGAATTTAAACCGTAAACAGCGATTAATAATAATAATAATATTTATTTTTTATATAGTGCTTAATACAAATGTCTCTAAGCGCTTTACAAATATACTATTACCCCGGTCATTGGATCCAGTGCTTGCCCGCACACACTGTGTGCACAATCTCCACTCCCTGGGGAGCATTCCAGCCGGGCGTTACTTGACGCTCACAAGCTGTTTGACCAACAATGACGGTCGCATCCTACCGGGTACCCATTTAACACCTGGGTGGAGTGTAGCAAGTGCAGGTTAATATCTTGCCAAAGGATTAACATAAACATTACGATTAACATAAATAATTGTATAAAGCAGTTTGAACTAAAATTGTCTTAGTTTATCATCTAATGTGCTGATTCTCGGACGGACAAAAACCATTTCAATTTCTTTAATCGACAGATTATATGATGATTGTAAATTATGAAAACTGATGGGGAAGTCAGGCAGTTTTAGTATGCAGGCCCTTTACAAATTCTTTGAACAGACCGATTCAAATTGCATAGTTTTCTTTGTAAACATAAATTCTATTTTTTGACTATCAAATGAAATTTGCCTCTTCGTTAAATCGATTTTCCATTCTACAGGTATATATTAGCGTAGATTTCTTCAAGAATTGATATTTTCCTCTTCCTCTTATTCCGATACATCCAGGCGCGTACACAGGGGGGGTGTTTGGGGGGTTAAACCCCCCCCCCCTTTGGTAATTTTTTGTGTGTAAACCCCCCCCCCCTAAATTTCTCTAAAACCCCCCCCCCCCCTTTGGTTTTTTTTTTTTTTTTTATTAAAAAAAAAAAAAAAAAAAAAAATCCCATGGTTGACCTAAAAAAGCTGACCTTACCCCCCCCCCCCCCAACGGAGCAAAATGTCAAATTTTCAAATTTCGAAACCCCCCCCCCCAAAAAAAAGTGACCTCTTACCCCCCCCCCCCCCCCCCCCCCCCCCCCCCCATTTGCCCGATTTATAAATGTTAAAACCCCCCCCTTGAAAAAATCCTGCGTACGCGCCTGGATACATCTGAAATAAGTGTTGGACTTTAATGATCCTTTTCCATCTATTATATGATACAACCTGTAAGTATTTTTTAAGAAAAGGTTTTCATTTAAGTATGTTTTTTCTCTTTTACTATAAATAAACAAAATCTAATTCTCTGGATAATAGTTATGCTATCGTGCATATTTCCTCAGTATAAAAACCTTCTCATTACAAATCATATTGTATACAACCTTGACCAGGCGCGTACGCAGGATTTTTTCAGGGGGGGGGGGTTAACATTTATAAATCGGTTAGAAAATTTCGCAACGACTCAGCCAGCCGCTGAATAAGCGGGGGGGGGGGGGGGGTAAGAGGACACTTTTTTTTGGGGGGGGGTTTCGAAATTTGGAAATTTGACATTTTGCTCAGTTGGGGGGGGGTGGTAAGGTCAACTATTTTAGGTCGGTCAAAAGGGGGGGGTTTAGGTTTTTTAGGGGGGTTTACATACATAAATTTACCAAAGGGGGGGGTTAACCCCCCCCCCCCCCTGCGTACGCGCCTGACCTTGACTAATTGATGTGAACGTACCCTTGTCTTATGTTTGATAGGTGTGTGAAGTGTTTAAATGCTTTTAGGTTAGAGGGCATGTAATTCCTACATTTTTTTTTTTTTTTTGTGAGGCGGTGGTATATAGAGCTGCTTATGATACGTTCCCGTCGGTTTTAACAAAAATATAAACAAATAAAACCGTTTTTTAGAGAGAAAAAAATATTAAAGCATTCAAAACTGAGAAATATCAGCCCAAAGAGGGCGAAAAAAGTTAATAAAAAAAGAAGATTTCCGACATGCTACCATGCTGCCCTACTATTTGTTAAACTGAAATGCTTCAAGGTTAATGATATTATCTTCCTCCACCAAATTGCCATATTAATGTTCCGTTTCAATATCAAATTGTTATCTACTTCATTATCTTCGATGTTCTAACCTAACATGGTTCACTCATATTCAACAAGGCAGTTATCGAATTTACATGTCGTCAATCCTCGTACTACATTAGCCTAGAAATCAATCAGACACAGGGGTCCAGATGTATGGAATTCTCTACCTTACAATATCTGAAATATAAAACCTCCAAACTCCTTTAAGAGAGCACTCAAATGTCTTATCATTTCACAGATATATATATTACTTATATAAATCTATATATAAGTTCTCATTGAATACTAGGACACTGCTAATGTTTGAATGTCACAGATAGGACATACATGACATATTCATAATTCCTGCAAAGTTCTACAGAATTAAATGTTGGTTTCAAAAGGGACATATTATCTTTAAACTGTAATGGATATCTCAGATTTTCACACATAATATACTTTTGAACTGTTTTATTATTTGTATAAGCATGAAGCATCCTCTTGCATTTAATAAATGAGCCCTCAATCGCACATCTCCCTTTTTTGTTGGGAAGTGTTAAAGTGCATCTGTGGTCGATCTTCTGAATATGGAAATGGCTTCATGAGAAAGATAAGGTATGGATACCTGCGTAATAGAGATGAGATGAGAAAGAGAGAGAGAGAAAAAACAACATTAATAGCATTTGTTAGGGTAGGGAAGGGCATCCTATAGAGCATAGCCAAATAAAAATGTATTTACTATTTTGCATAATGCTGTGATTATTTTATTATCTGTCAAAGCAAACAGGGTGTACACTAGAAATACAATTTTTGTTACAATTTACCTTACAATAGACTTTATATTCATGTTTATAACAAGGTACAAGTTACATAACAAACCATGTTACCTTCATTTTTAGATAAATAAACGTATACAATAGGTATATATGATTTAAAGTCTAGGCCGCCGAAAATTTTAAAAAGATAGATGTTAGTGGCGCCACCAAATTGTGTACATGCATTTACAATTTGTAAATATATACTTTGCTTTAAATTGTTCAAATGTAATTGTATAGGTTGTTTGAATCCTAGAATATTGCTAACATATATGCAACACACTCAATACCTGGTAGTAACCTAGTGCAATCAATCTCTTACACTTTATTTGCTATTTTGTCTGCAAAACAAAATCCTTTATATTATTTTCTCAGTTTTTTTCTGGCCACCGAAAATATTAACACATGTATTCAAGTATTTGTTGGGCCATTAGAAAAGAAATACTAATGAGTACTCATTTTTTATAGCTGCAGATTTTGCTTTTTTGGTGTGATATAACCTGGGAGTACTTAAAAAAAACACGTTTGTGGCTATTGCCTGACAAACTTATTTACACAATTACAGTCTATTACGTGAAAACGATTTAGGGTGTAACATGTAAGGAAGTCGGGGAGGAATATGTACTATGTTTTTATGTAACGGGCAATTTGGATTCTACAACATTAATAGTCGTAGGGTTAATTTACATTTACATTAATTTGAATTCAAAGTACCTCATCTAAAAGGTTCATCCTCAGATACCTCAAGTCCACCAATCCAGATTCGATTTTTGAGTCCTCTGCCTGGATGCCGGGCTTTTTCTAGCACCTCTTCCACCTCTGTGGAAAGAGAAAGTGGTAGAATGATAAAAACAAAGAATATCATAATTCAGATTCAGATTCAGATACATTTTATTAGTCCATTTGGAAATTCAGTTGTTGGCATTACATAAAGCACATAAACAATATACAATAGAGAATAATATACACAAATAGATAACACAAAGTAGCAAATGTACAATGACATATTCAAGAGAAAGTGATAGAAGAAAGAAACAAAGAAGAATAATAAAAACAAAGAATATCATAAGAGAAGGTGATAGAAGGAAGAAACAAAGAAGAAGAATACAAACAAGGAATAACATAAGAGAAGGTGATAGAAGGAAGAAACAAAGAAGAAATTATACAAACAAAGAATATCATAAAAGAAGGTGATAAAAGGAAGAAACAAAGAAGAATGATTAAAAAAAAATAACATAAGAGAAGGTGATAGAAGAAAGAAACAAAAAAAGAATGATAAAAACAAAGAATAACATAAGAGAAGGTGATAGAAGAAAGAAACAACCTGCCTGGTTCTGCTGTTTGGTCTCATTACACCTCCATCACCAGGTGTTGCTCTTGCTGCAGAAGCTTGAAATCTTGCATTTGCAGATGCAAGTCCGATATCTTCACTGGAATGGAAACAAATATTTAAAAAAATGTTTAACAGTTTTTTTAAATAAAAAACAAAGAAATGTTACTTGTTAGTGTTCCTATCTCTGGAATCCAAGCCTGCAATCAATACAATTATTAAAGCCTATCTGCACTAGTTTGGCCAAGAGGGACTATACCTCCCTGCGTGGTCACTGGTAGGTGGTTATAATTATCTCATCAAATCAGCTCTCAATTAACATAAGAAAAAGATGATCGTGGGGGACCAACGGGTACCGTTTATAGGCATTGTTGTCTATATAGAGGGCGCAAGTAGCTACAAGTAGTGCAGTCCCGCATTATACAATGACCATTATTAACAATTCAACGAAAAGCGTAACATCCCCTCGCCGGGCACAAATGGCCTATGTGTAGCAATTTTTCGCATATTTAATGAGCTATGACCTTCGAACTTTGACCGACATACTCCAAAATCGAACTTAGGCTGTATTTTACTATTATGTACCGTCATATAAAAAATCCAACAAATTCGTCAAACATTTTTTGTATAATTAGCTTTTTTTCGCATATTCAATGACCTTGGACCTTGGACCTATATACTCCGAAATCGAACTTAGGCTGTGTTTTGATACCGTGTACATTCATATCAAATTTCATGAAAGGGATTGGGTAATTTTGCCTCTGCTTCTACACAAAATCCTGGATTAAATTTAGCTCATGCTGCAATCATAATTATAATCCTTTAGGTCAGGAATCCCGTGACTTTTACAAGCCGATCGCCTGTCTGATTTACCAAGATATATATGATTGGAATTAGAGATGTCAAAAACTTTTTGCCAAACGGTTGTGAACAGTTTTTTTATAACACTACAGTCAATCGGGGAAATGATTACCGGTATGGTAAAACCGGTAACTCAAAGATTGTTACTTTTTTAAAGCACTTCATGATCATTTTTAACCGCAATTTGTTTTGGGTTTCAATATTACACCATTATACCACAGACACTGATAACACGTAGGGCCATGCATCTCAGATTTGTACAACTGGAAACATTGTTAAACGATATGCCTTTAAAGCCCCTTTGAACTAGTTTAGCCAGGAGGGATTAGACCTCCCAGAATAACATGAGATAAGGTGATGGAAGGAAGAAACAAAGGAAAGCGTAAAGAAAAATAGGAAGAGGAAATAATAGAATAATACGAACAAAGAATAACATACGAGAAGGTGATAGAAGGAAGAAACAAAGAATAAAAACAGGAAAGACAGAAAAGGAAAGTGATAGAATGATAAAAACAAAGAATATCATAAGTGAAGGTGATAGAAGGAAGAAACAAAGAAGAATGATAATAACAAAGAATAACATACGAGAAGGTGATAGGAGAAAAAACGGCCTGCCTGGTTCTGCTGTTTGGTCTATATACTCCATCACCAGGTGTTGCTCTTGCTACAGAAGCTAGATATCTTGCATTTGCAGATGCAACTCCGCCATCTTCACTGGGATGGAAAAAATAAAAAAAATGATTAAACAATTTGTTTTTATATTTAAAAAAAAATTAATTGTTAGTGTTCCTATCTCTGGAATCCAAGCCAGCAATTAATACATTTATTAAAGCTATATCTGCACTAGTTTGGCCATGAGGGAATAGACCTCCCTGCTAGACATCCATCCACGTACAGAGTCAACACATGTTTCTAGAAGTGAGTCACATCGCTTTTTAGCATGTTCATCAGGTCTGAATGATACATAAAGCTGTGTGTCATCTGCATAGCAGTGGCATGATATCTCGGGAAAATTTTGTTTGAACTTTTGAAATGAGATTATCAGTATACAGAGTAAATAACAAAGGACCCAGCCGAGAACCTTGTGGAACTCCAAAATGCAATTATTATTATCATTATAATTATTATTATTATTACTACTACTATAATTGTAAACTTCAATAGATTTTAAAAATGTAAGTAATATATAGTGATTGAATTTAAATAGCTACACATGGGTAATGTTAAAGGGATAGTCGAGTTCTGTTTTCAGACCGCAAATGCCTTCAAAGTGCATGGTTATTGCTCTCATTCTCTTATCTATGATATATCTAGGGCCCTTTTAGGACCTAAAATTGCTATGAAGTTAATTTTAGACCCCAAAATGTGTGAAATTTAGCCAATACGGTCATACCAATTCAGCTCCACTTTCAAAAAAATACGGTGACCGTTAATAAAAAAATTAATTAGAAATAACAATACATGAGCTGGTTGGTTGTGCGTAATATAACCAACAAAAAAAAAGCCGACGTCGGTATTGGCTAAAATACAGCCCATTCATCAATAAGAAGTGTCTTCCATGGGGCCCTCACTGAATACGGCCGTCTCTGAACCGATTTTGATCAAACAAAGATGATTTTGTCATTTAAATTGTATGTTCTTTCAAATTTGACACTCAGTTTTTCATTATGTCACCCCAAAAAATTATGTTGTGTAGCGCCCTCTGTAACAGAACTCAACTATCCCTTTAATTATAACCAATACTTTTTGCATAATGATTGTAACAAATGAAATATAATGTTACTATGTAATGGAGCTCATGTACACGTAAACATGCTCAAATTCAGCATTTTGGCTGCGAGGCATTGTTTGGTAATAAAACCATTATTGAATTGAATTTTATTTCTCTCAGGCTTCCTAATCTTGTAATCGAAGACAAAGTTCTGGACATGCTTTTGCTCGCTAGTGTACTCATCAATGCTGACCAAACCTTCACCGTGATTCAACGTGGCTATCAGGATTGTATTCCCTTGAGACATAGCAGCTAATCTAGGTAATCCCCTGTTTTCGTTAATTCATATTCTACAACACCTTGTTTGTCAATCAATCGTATTGTATGACCAGATACAATGATCAGATAATCATTTTAACTAGTAATCTGCTTAGGTGTATACCGATCACATGGTATCTCCCTGATCGCCTAATTCCCGCCTGCTGGTGAGAATACTTAGATCTTTCGAGCTTTCATGTAGCTAACATAGACCTGACCATCCCCGTCTACAATGACAATCCTCCTTCATCATCACTTAGGGTCTCAAACATTACATTCGACTTTGTGTACTCTATAGTGTGTACAGTGTAATATTGTTTGAGTAATCTAGTACATTAGTACAACATACCTATCATCAGAGGATTCAGCGAGGTCTACTCGAACATTCTCGACGCCACCTCCACGACATCCCACTGCCATCCTACCGTCTGGTGTACTAACCATGGCATAATTCATGCTATCCTTAGTAGGCAAAGAGATGTTCTTTGCAACTGCGTTCACGATCTTACCGAGAGATAGCTCGTCCATTCCAATGTTCCTCTTAAAACTGACACTTTTTCCTTTCTTGCTCGATTGCCTCGGCTTCTCGTAGTCAGGATCTTCTTGTTTCAAAGCCTCTTGCAAGTCTTGACATAGAGTGTCGTGTGCAGCCAAAGCATCCATATCTACCGGTATCTTTGTTCAGGCGCGGATCCAGGATTTCTTAGGGGAGGGGGCCCAACTTTTTTTTTTTTTTTGCTCCCGAAAATTTGAAATTCGCGTCGGCCGAAAAGTCGCTCAGTGGGGGGGGGGGGGGGGGGGGGGGGGGTACAGAGCACAATTTTTTTTTTTTTTTTTTTTTTTTTTTTTTTTTTTGCTCCCGAAAATTTGAAAAACGCGCCGGCCAAAAATTCGCTCAGTGGGGGGGGGGGGGGGGGGGGGGGGGGGGGGGGGGGGGGGGGGGGGGGGGGGGGGGGGGGGGGGGTAGTGAGCACATTTTTTTTTTTTGATCCTCAAAAAAATTTCAATTTGCACCCCCCCCTTGAGCGCCAGGGGGGGGGGCCCAACCCCCCAAAATCGTAAAAATCACGTGATTTTACATGATTTTTTTCTCAAGGGGGGGGGCCCGGGCCCCCCGGGCCCCCCCCTGGATCCGCCACTGTCTTTGTTCTAGTGGTTATCAAGTCATCTACGGTGATCAAGTGAGTGATGTGCTCCTGAGCCGATTTCTTCATTTCGTCCAGTTCTTTCTTTACTGCTTCAGTCCTACCCTTGACTTCAACAATGAGGACTTCTTTCTTCTCTGTCAGCTGCCTGACTGATTCTTCATATGCTTTGTTGATACTATCTGTACACTGCTTTTGAACATCGCTCACACGCTCCTTCTGTTCATCAATGAAATCAACGTATTTCTGAAAGCAAGAGCGTTTCTTGTCCGTCTTGAATTTGAGGTCTTCGATACTCTTCATATGGTTGCTTTCATAAACAGCTGCCTCGATGACCCCATGTCCTTCCTTTGTGTGCTCCATGACAACACATCTGAAGCAGGCGAATCTCCTGCAGTCGGAACAGAAGCACTCCTCGTCCTCTTTGGGGTGTTTTCTGCATTTACGATACCTACGTACTGACGCCTTCCCTGATAGGATATCACTCATGGCAAAGACCTCATGACCGAGGAAGTTTTTCCACTGAGAGTGTTTGTTGTGGCAAGTGATACAGAAATACATGCCACAGTCTTGACAGTAGACAACAGCTTGGGGTTTGTCCTCGGATTCACAATTCGTACAAAACTGATATTGATTCTTCACGTCATCTATGAGAGACTTCAAAGCTAGATTAGCCGGTAATTTGCTGACATCTTGGTTTGGGACCTGGGTTTCAGCTCTGCAGACAGGGCATCGGAGCATCTGATCGTTACCATGGCATTCCAAGAGGTTGTCCAGACAGGTCTTGCAGTAGGTGTGAGAACAAGACAGGATCTTGGGGTCGGTGAAGGTATTCAGACATACAGGACACTCCAGACTCTGAGCAATGGCACTCTTTAATGCATCAGCCATGATTCGAATTCTACAGGAATACGAGATAAAAGAAAAGGAATAAAAAGCATGATGATAATAATAATAATATTCAGTTCTCGTAAAGCGTATCACATTATATAACGTCCATAATTATGCGCTTCCAAAGAGCTTTGAAAATCATTACCCTAGCTGTAGCTCCGGCAGCCGTTATCAGCGCCCTAGTGCATTTCAAATAATAATCCTACCTGCATGTATAAATATAGATTAATGTATTGCCAAAGGATATTAGCGCCGCGGCGGGACTCGATCCGCAGGCCTTGCGATCCACATTCCGATGACATATCCACTCGACCACGACACCTTCGATTCGATTCATCTTGGGGGTGTTTGACAAAGACTAAGATCGATATTAAGTAGGACTTAACTATGGCAGGCCTTTCGTGCCACTGGTTGATCTTTAGATAATACTATCAAAAAAGGTAAATTCTGTAGATTTGTGACCACGATTTGTACGTCCCTTGATAAACCAATGCCAGGAATAGTTAGAGGAACTAGTGGCATGAATGGCCTACCATAGTTAAATCCAACTTAAAGTCGATCTTAGTCTTTGTGAAACACCCCCTTATCGTATTAATATAACGCGCACAAAAATATTATATTTCGTAATATCTTAAAGGCATAGGCGCCGGAAGTGGGGGGGGGGGGGGCAGGGGGGGGGGGGCAAAACGCCCCCCCCCCCCTCAAAAAAAAAAAAAAAAAGCAGTAAAGAAGTAAACATGGTTTGTATTTTTAACCCAAAAGAACATAACAATAATAAAAACCTGAATTAAATCACATAATAATTCCATTCAAAGAAAAGGAAAGTTCACAGGAATTTAATTTCTTAAACATTGCGCATGCCACCTATACGGTATTGATCAATGGAGGTCTGTATAATAGCGATACGCGCATATCGTTGACATATTGTGCGAGAATGGGAAAACGTGTCTGTTTTTTGTTGTTATAGGGGTGAGAAGACATGAGCCCCTGAACGCTGGCGTAATGATGGGGGGGGGGGGGGTATTTCTTATTCGATACCAGTGATTTACAAATGTTGCTGTTCTGACATGATTTTCCGGTATTTTTTCTCCATTTTTATGTAAGTCACACCTTTTTATGCTTTTGTTGGCAAATAAGAAATTCCCAAATTACAGTCGGACGAAAAATACGCTTATTTAGAAGGCTTTATGTCATGGTCTGCAAAGTGGCTGGGCTCGAGCTTTAAAACAGTAAAATGGCTCTTATTTTAAAATTACTCAGTAAATAAAACCCAAAACTTCAGTGATATCAGAAAAAATATGTTATATGTTACTAATAATTAAAAAAGATGTATAGACATTGTTAAAGGGTCGCATTTTACGATAAAAGACACCGATTTAGCGAAGATGACGTCATTAGTGCGCTTGCATCAGGGAATTCAAGGTCAAAAGGCCAATTCAGACGCTGATAAGATATTGGTCGAGCCTTTTTGTTTCCTTTATTCCGACAAAATTATATAATCAATCAAAACAAGTTTAATACCAGAAGAAAGCTAACGATTAGTATTTTCTTTAACCGCTTGCCCCAAAGCCGCTTGACCCCAGTGAAACGAGTGAGAGCTTGCGAGAGCGGCCAAAGTTTGATTGAAACTCGCTATTTGCTCTTCTCCAACGCAAAAAGAGACGACATTGTGCTGGATAAATGTATTTTTTCCGACAAAAGTACAGAAAATTTGCATATGGTCTTTTTATATTATACTTTATGAAATGCTACCCGAGTGACTTCCGGGCGCCCCAATGCTGGAAAGAAACGCACATTTTAGAAAACTTCACTTTTTCATGGAAAAATGCTCATTTGTTCTATGCACGCAAGTCAGATTGAGCGGATGATACAACGTTTCCATATGCCACCAAGGGCCCTAAGGCGGGCCCCTTGGTGCTCATCTGACCGTAATTAAATACCTAAAAACCCCTGAGCTTCCGGGGGCTCTGCCCCCGGAACCCCAACAAGGGCCCTAAGGCGGGCCCCTGGATGCTCATCTGACCCTAATTAAATACCTAAAACCCCTGAGCTTTCGGGGGCTCTGCCCCCTGGAACACGTCAATGGCCTTAAAGAGGGCCCCTGGATGCTCATCTGACCGTAATTAAATACCTAAAACCCCTGAGCTTCCGGGGGCTCAGCCCCTTGACCCCCTGCCGAGGCTCATGCCCTGGACCCCACGCCAATTTACGCTCTACCTGATCGTTAATACTCCACTTTGAAAAACGTTCCGCGGGACCTGCAAGTAACGTGTTAGACTGGTGGTGATTCAGATTTTTCGTCTGCCCCCCCCCCCTTCCGAACGTTTTTTTTCATTACGTCACTGCCCCTGGAAGGTGAGCCCCATGGAATGTTTGCCCCCCCCCCCCCAATCCCAAACTGCTTCCGGCGCGCCTGCTTAAAGGTACTATGTCCCTTTTGCAGCCAACCTCAAATTCTGTAGAACTTTGCAGGGATTATGAATATGTCATGTATGTCCTATCTGTGAAATTTAAACGTTAGCAGTGTCCTAATATTCAAATTATGCAAGGAAACCCGCTTACTTGCTAGACTTCACTGTCAGACACTATTGAGTGACTGACTGGCTTTTTTTCTTCTTTGGTAATAACATACATAAAATGAGCTGTAAAGGGTACATGAGCATTTGTCTACATCAATAACCCACTTCTTGTGATGGCAAAAATTAAACTGATTGAATCTTTGCGCAGCATAAAACGTATGACCATTCGGTTATTGTCTGAAAATCAAGACTATTACTTATTGGCTCTATAGCTCCTAAGTCGATTTGACAACTAATAGTCGTTGTTTTCCCACTTGAAGACATTTTCAAGCCCCACCTTTTTTAGGGAGTTCTAAATTAGTATTATCTTTCAAATGCCGTTGAAATTTAACCTTTTCATTTTTGTTGGCCCCCAAATGGAACATAGTACCTTTAATAAAAAATAATTATTGTTATTTATCAATTAGATGTAGTTATGAATAATGAATTTGGAAAAGACTGTTTCCTTGGTCGCTCTTCAGTTAATGAACAGTATAATCATCATGATAATATTAACGCAAATAAATATCACAATAATAATAGCCTAATAATAATGATACTGATAGTAATATTAATAATTAATAATAATAATAATAGTAATAATGACAATAATAATAATCATGCCTTGTTAACCCAGCTAGCCTTATCGTTATTTACTCCTGTTTTCCATGATGGCCCTGCAATCATATTATAACCTCGGTTTTAGCTAACCTACCACGAAAAGGCGCTGATAATCATTCACGGAATTTTTTTCTACCAGGTACCAATTCAGTTCACTATACACCTGGTTTGGGTGGAAAATGACCAATGTAAAGTACTGTCTTGTCAATGGACATTAGTGCCGTAGTGGGACTCGAACCGCGAACCACGTGTTTCACAATCAAGCAACCAATCCACTATAAATATGATAAACCACAACACCTCTAGGCCTACATGTATCGCAACTAGTTATGCTAGGACAAATGTTGTGACGTATGTCATAATACATTCCAACACTTGATGCTCATGGTTTAAGGTAAACCATAAGGCATAGAAAACAAAACAACAGCTTTAAACAAAAGTCTCAGAAATTTTTACCATTCACATTCAGCATTTTGGCATTGGAAAAAAGAGTCATTACAAAATCTAGTATCAGAAATTCGTGACCTTTGAACGAAAACAAATATGATCCGTGATCTAACTTCAGATATAAAGATAAAAAAACCTTATAACTTAAAGATAAAGGTGAGTTCTGGTCATCTGCCCATCATCTGATTGCATTGTGAAAGAAAACGTGTGGAATGGATACGAAAAAGATGATCATGTAGCATGTGTTTGTGTGTACTTCAAAGTTCTGGGGGGTGTTTCACAAAGATCCTAAGTTGAACTTAACTCTAAGTTGGACTTAACAATTATGGAAAGCCGTTAGCATCGTTGAAAAAAATTTGTAAAAATTATTTTACAAGGCATAAAATGTTGATTCAAATCAATCATATTTTCCATCATTATGAAAGATTTCACGTTCTTGATGTGGAATTCATAAAAAGTCTAAAATACTTGAATTTCTGCTTTTGAATATATTTCATTTTAAGACTCCAATGGCTGTCCATAATTTTTAAGTCCAACTTAGAGTTAAGTTCTACTTAGGATCTTTGTGAAACACCCCCAGGAGTCATGAAAATCACCATAAATTTGGCCCAGTCTTGGTAAAGTAACAAGCATTGTACACAGAAAGATGTATAATGGGACTACACAAATGGTGTCAGGCCTACGTACCTTAATTTCCTAATCTTTCTATGCTTATTACTCAGCCAGTATATGATTCTGTGAGAATTCATTTTCTATTCTTTTTACCAGAGCTCACCCTTTATCTTTATCATTGAGTTTAGGCTTTGACCAACTCTAAAACTTAGTAGGCAACATTTCGTACCAACATTTAATGCCGATGAAGTATCAAAAGCAGTACTATATACATGTACTAATGCGCACTGAAATATACTATATTCATAAAAGGAATATCATGTTTATATAGGGATCAAATTATATAGACTGCTCTGATTAAGCAGAATCACTAGCTAAAATGTTATCTATGTTCAAGCCTTCTCGATTACATGCAGATTGCCTTCGCGTCAGATACACGCAGGGATACGCGCACATGCAGCAGAGAGGTACGCAGTCTGCATATAACCAAAAATGCACGGCGCATATAACCAAAAATGCACGACCGTGCAATATACCATCTATTGAATATCATGTGATCAACAACCGTCCAATCAAATGACAAGGATCCACGTAGGTGTTGTATAACATGCAATATTAGATAGCTTAGACAGATACCGAGATGTAATTGGTCCAGAGCTCGTCACGTGATATCATTTGCGAGGATCCAAATTGTTATATTTTCCTGGCCGGTTATATTTTACCAGCTGGTGAAATGAAAATATTTTTAATCAATACATGTCG